AATACTCAACCTTAAAAGTTTGTTATTATCTGAAATGTTTAGAATCACTTGACAGGGGAACCTGAGGTTATCTGTTACCTGGCACATTTAGCAAACATTTCACTTTCTAAATCTTGCCTCAAATTACTTGTTTAGTGTTCTGTATCCTTAACATCACTGACAATACTAGAGAATCTGTGTAGTCCTGGCTTTCCTGGAACTCACAGATCTGCCTGCCTCTATCTCCCAAGTACTGGGATTAATGGTGTGCACCACCACCGCCTGGCTGAGTCTTTTATTTTTTAAGACAAGATCTCTATCTCAGGCTGGCTTTGAGCTTGTGATTCCCCTGCTACAGTCTAGGATTACAGGCATGAGCTATCATGCACAGCTCATGTAAACACTTGCTCTTTTTGTCTTGTGCATGGTGTGTTGTGTGTTGGTCCGTCTTTTTGGCTCTTGCTCATTGCTGCATATTCCAGTAAGCTGGCCAATGAGCTTCCAGGACAACTACTGTCTTTATCTCTCATCTCTGGGTGGGAGGTTCTGGGAAATTCAGATTCAGGTCTACTAGCCTGCACTTTTTCTTCACATGCATTCCCAGAGTCATCCTCCTTTTAAAAACTGGTGCCGAAGACTGAACACAAGGTCTTCCATATGCTAGGCAATCACTCTACCACTGAGCTGCATTCCCAGCTCAAGGGTATACTTACAGTTTTTTTCTGCCATAATGGTGTCAGTTTTATAGCATGGATCCCTTTGAATGTACTAAAAAACCAACCAAACCTGAAATTAAGAACCTGTCATGTTGGAGCGCCCACCCCCACCCATTGGGTGGGACAGTCATATTTAAGCCTTTCCAGTTTGTTCCCTGATGGAACCCTCTATCTGCCAGGCTTCTGAGGAACACCTGAAGCAGCACTACATTGACCTGAAAGACCGTCCTTTCTTCCCAGGGCTGGTGAAGTACATGAACTCCGGGCCCGTGGTGGCCATGGTGAGTGTGAGGGACTAACGGGATTACTCTGTCCTCTGTGTGGCCCAGACTCATCTAGAGGTCTGCCTAGAGTACTGGGGGTATACATAGTCAGGAGTTAGTTAACTAGACATTGTGTGTGTGGGGTAAACACACTTTTGAAAGACTCTGGGCTTTGTAGTTCAGTGTAAAGCTCAGGCTGCTCTTGCAAAGGACTGGAGTTAGGTTCCTAGCACCCACACAAAGGACTGGAGTTAGGTTCCTAGCACCCACACAAAGGACTGGAGTTAGGTTCCTAGCACCCACACAAAGGACAGGAGTTAGGTTCCTAGCACCCACACAAGCTGGCTCACACCACCGGTGACTCACGCCTCTGGCCTCCGCAGGCACCAGTATTTGAATGTGCATGTGTGTACGCACATAGCTAATGGTGGTGTGTGGTAATGGCCTTTAATCCTAGCACTTGGGATGCAGAGGCAGGTGGATCTATGAGTTGGAGGACAGTCTGGTCTACGGAGTGAGTCCCAAAACAGAGAAACCCTGTCTCGAACAAATACGTGATGTGAAAAAAGTTTTTTTTTTTTTTTTTTGGTTTTTCGAGACAGGGTTTCTCTGTGGCTTTGGAGCCTGTCCTGGAACTAGCTCTGTAGACCAGGCTGGTCTCGAACTCACAGAGATCCGCCTGCCTCTGCCTCCCGAGTGCTGGGATTAAAGGCGTGCGCCACCAACGCCCGGCTGTGAAAAAAAGTTTAAGGCAATCTTTATAGGCTTTCAAGGAAGCACTATGTTTGCCAAGTACTTTTGACTGCAATGTTTCCTAGACCTAGATAAGTATTTTTTTTTTTTTTAAATTTTATTTCGAGACAGGGTTTCTCTGTAGCTTTGGAGCCTGTCCTGGAACTAGCTCTTGTAGACCAGAATGGCCTCGGATCTGGAACTCACGAAGACCCACCTGCCTCTGCCTCCCTAGTGCTGGGATTAAAGGCGTGCACCACCCCACCCAGATCCCTAGACAAGTATTTCTGAAGTATATAATCTGTAGTGCATAAGTTCTCTGGCTCTGCACTCTGGGTGTAGTGTCTTCTGGGTGGTTTTGGTGTCCCCTGAGGATGATCACAGAGTGTAAGACACTGAAATTGTTTAAGAGTACTTCCAGTTCCTAGGCCAGCCCTTCTCTTCCCTGCAGTACTTGCCATCTTGCTTTCCCAGGGAGGCCCTGCCCACTGATTACTGATCTTTCTCCAGACTTTGTAACTTATTCTCAAGTTGAGTAGTCTTTTCCTATACCCTACTTGTGAATTTAAAACAGATTCTTGCTCTGTTGAGGTTATCTGACCACAATGTCATAACTCAGTGTCCTTAATGGTTCTGTCTCAGTAACTTTTTTCTTCTATTAAGGTCTGGGAGGGGCTCAATGTGGTGAAGACAGGCCGAATGATGCTGGGAGAGACCAATCCAGCTGACTCTAAGCCAGGCACCATTCGAGGGGATTTTTGCATTCAAGTTGGCAGGTAAGTGTGTGTGTGTGTTGAGAGAGGGAGAGAGACGGAAGGGAAAATACTTTTAACTCGAAGTGGAGCATACAACATTTTGGGCATACCCCAAGTTCACGAAAACCTGAAAATACAACATGGAAATTATCACTAAACACTTCTGTGAATGATTGCTTAAAATTTGTAATTGAGACACTCACTGTACAGAGAGCTGCATGTGATAGTTTCTACATGGGAAACAGGGTTTAACCTCACCATGTGAAACCTAACCCTCTGAGTTTTCCTAAGCCATAATTTGTACCCAAACTTTGTAATAAAAGGATTGTTACTAATAAGCAATGGCTTGCAAATCACTTTAATTAAGAAAATGCATGATTTTAATCCACACCTGGGAGGCAGGAAGATCACGGAGGTCCAGGCCAGTGTGGTCTGTAAGCAGAGTTCTAGGACAGCCAGGGCTACACAGAGAAACTCTCAGAAACCCAATCAACTAGCCAGCCAGCCAGCGGCAATGCAGAGAGCTGAGGCTGTAGCTTAGTTGGTAGACTGCCTGCCTGGCATGAAGGAGGCCATGAGTTTAATTTCCAGCCTATGTAAATTAGATAAGCTGGCAGGAAAATCAGAAAGTTCAGTCATTTTAAGCTGCATAGGAAATTTGAGACTAGCTCCCCCCAAGGGAAAAAAAATAGGATTGGCTTTTGATTAGGGGGAGGCTTGCCTACTTCTGTGTTTCAGAAGGAACTTTTCTTTGGCACTCGTAGCAATCTTGGGTTATAAATACTCTTGAAGGGAAAACTTGGACGTACGGCTCTTTTTAAGTTTTTTTTTTTTTTTTTGGTTTTTCGAGACAGGGTTTCTCTGTGGTTTTGCGTACGGCTCTTTTTATTTGGGCACTTTTATAGCTTTTTAAAAAATTTTTGGTGTGATATTTAAAGATTTTTCTGAGTGTTCTGCTTACATATATGAGATGCTTTGGAACTGAGTTATGCATTGTTGAGAGCCACCATGTGAACTGAAACCTGGGTCCTCTGCAACTGCAAGAGCAACAAGTGTTAACCGTTTAGTCTCTTCAGTCCTATCCAATGGATTTCACAGCACTCTCAGCCCTACAGTTGGTTTCGGGATACTTGGGATGTATTAAATGGACTCTGGCACTGTAATACACCATAATAAATGAGCTTTCTTTTTTAGGAACATCATTCATGGCAGTGATTCAGTTCAAAGTGCAGAGAAGGAGATCAGTCTATGGTTTAAGCCTGAAGAACTGGTTGACTATAAGTCTTGTGCTCATGACTGGGTATATGAGTAGAGATAGTTCTCAGCATTACTGATGGATCCCTGGGCACAACTCTTCATTCCACAGAATGGATCATCTTTTCTAAAACAATAAAGACTTTGGAACTGGATGCAGTGTCCTTTGCTCATTTGCTAGAACTAAAAGTGATTTTGTCTCATGATTATAATGGCATTAAACAAAGTAGTCTTATTTACTGTGAAGAATAAGCTAGGGATCATTAGCTAATAGAGAAATGTCTATTTCTGCAAGATGGGTGTGTGAAAATGTAGTGACAAAGAAACAAAGTCAAGCAGGTCAGATTTATATTTCCGTTGCTTAGCAGAAAGTCTCGAGACATAGGTTAAAGAGCGAGCAATTAATGTAGTTCCCAGCCTGAAGCTTTATTCCCTCTTAAAGACTGCATGTGTAGTCTGGTGTACAGAGGTCAGAAGTGGTGTCTTATTGCCTGTTGGACGGTGGGAAATTCCTTCTCACAGTACTCTTCTCCTTTACTTTGTATCCTGACTCTCTTGAGGCAAGTAATGGCCATCTTGGGGAGCTCAGCTAAAGGATCATCCTACTGTTGATTGTTTATACTCTCATGGAAAGGGAGGGAGGGAGGCTGACTACACAGCCACTCTGCCACTTGCTATATAACTCTGCCTAATTGCAAGTGGTCTCAGGGAGAGGTTAGAGTATAATATGGTAAGCCCAATTAGTTAATTCTCGGATCTCACAGTGAAAAGAATCAGCTCTTGAAAGCTGGGCTTTGAAACACACACAAGATGAAAGGGGATTGCTGCCGAGTTTGACAACCTCAGGCCCACTCTAAGACTCACATGTGAAGAACTGACTTTTGTCTCCATGTGCACCACAGCACATCCACCCACACTCCTTGATAAACAAATGTTGAAAAAACTGGTAAATAATGCTTAACTTTAACATTTTATTTTGTGTAAAAAAAGGGCAAATTTAGTGAATTATTTTCATCTTGTACACAAAGTTATAATTTTAATGCTTTTCACATCCATGCTGAAAATTTGCATTTTGGTAAAAATGAAAGGAACATAAATTTCTCTGAAGGGATTTTTCACGCTATGTACATTTCATGAGAAAGCTTCAAATACTTCCTCAATGATCACAAGTTACCAGAAAATAAAAGATTAAATTTGTCCAGATATTGATCTATATATCAAACGCACACAGAAATGATGTAAAAACCTTATGTACTTTACTTTGGCCTCTGTCCTTGAAAAGTTGCCCAGGGACAGATGCATTTTTATTTTATTTTATTTTATTTTGTATAAATGACTGTGGCTTTATTTAAAATATGAAAATCAAAGGAAGATACCCAGTTTAATCACAGTATTTTTAAAATCCCTCCCCAATATTAAAGGATCATTACCAAATATATAGCACCATAATACAAATATTGATGGGCGAGGGTATTCACATCACACAAAATTAATAATAATAAAAACAAACAAACACTGAAAACCCGTGTTAGTATCCGCAGAATAAAAAGTTGATAACAGCTTTAGCTTTCCTCATACACAGCAAGGAAAAGGTTAAAAAGTTTAAACTACTAAAAGTTCCCAGGCTCCTAACAGGAAAACAAAAACCCAAGGTCAGCAGTACATTTTAAACTTTGAGAGAGAACAGGGGTACTGAGCTGTATGACAAACAGTAATTATGGCTACAATGGAAGTCTCCTCTGGTTAACATTCTTTGTTAGCAGCAGGAGTGAGGGTCTTAACAAAGAAGAGGGCTCTGGGTTGTGCTTAGACTCTAACAAGTCCTAACAACCCCTCACTCTTGGTGAACATAAACATTTAATGAATATAGGTGGGGAATTCTAAACACGCCAAGCCTGGTTTTGGTGTAGAATTGGAAGCTTGTAGAACCTGGCTACAAATAAGCATTTCACAGAACTAATTACCAGGACTGGCTGGCATGAAATCACATCTTTCCTGGCTTACAGTTCGTTCCTTGGAGAACTCCTACACCTAAGCTATGAGGAGTGCACCCCATACAACAGGCTTCTTGTGCTGGTACCATGGAAGCACAGTCCTGGATTTAATCCACTGAGCCTGAGAATAAAGACTATAACATTTGCTTTGGACCTCTTCTAGGTTTGAAGTTCCTGGGAAGATCCTTCAAAGATTTGGGAAGTGCGAGGATGTCACATTTACAGTAGGTCCCCCTCAGCAATCTTGTTTAAGATAAATATCCAGTAATTTTACAGCTGAATTCACATATAAATGACACGAGATTCAACTTGCATTGATGTGATCTGCATTTAGCCCCCAGAGTCAGTATTAAGAAATGGTGACATGCGATTCCATACATTTTTACACTATAAAGTAACACATTTTACTTCCAGTAGCTACTACAAAACCTTACGTTATTAACCCCTCTTGCATAGAATGAGGTAAACCTGTGCGTATTACCAATGCTATTATTCCCAAAAGTAGAGCAATATTTTAGAAAATAAATTGCTGGTTTTTAACGTTCTATGCATTTAAAAGTCAAACAAAAATCTTACCTAAAATGTCTCCTGGGGTTTTCCATTAGCGTTTTTTTAAAGCATTCCATAGGCTGTAGGGCTGCAGAGGTTAATCATTTTAACTTCTCATTAGCCCTGCCTATTTTCCAGAGGAGATGGGCAGTATTACCACTCTGAAGAGGCCAGGCTCAGACCCAGAAGCACTTCTAGAACAGATGCAATGAATTCCTGAGAGTTTAGTTTATGAACCTCACTGGTAAATTCTAGAGCGCTCATTCAGTCACAACTCGGTAGAAGGGTAGAAAAATGCAGAGAGCAAACCTTTCACCAATTTACTCTTTTATCCTATTTTTTAAAGGAAGTCATATGAATTTTAAAATAGGGAATGTTTAAAATGGTCCAAATCAGTTATTGTTAAAATAAATTCTGCCTACAATTAAAGATAAGTCAATATGTGTGTGTATATGGAATTTTAAGAAAATTAAGTTTTCTTTCAGTAAGTTTCTAACAAATCCAGGACAGTTCAAAGTGGAGCTGGAATGATCTGAAATCTAAACAACTTTTTTTTATCTGATTCTATTGGTAATACAGAACATCTGTTTTTGGGGTGGTTTTATCAATCAAGTTGCTCTCTCTCAGACGGAGGGAAATGGCAGAGGTTTGATAAGAGTATCTTTTTCATGGGATGTTCTTTATTCTCTAGCAAGGAAAATAGAATAAACTTGGGAAAATATTCATTTTCCCTGACCCCTTATATAGACTGAGATCCTGGTATCTGTCAACCATTCCAGTTTAACACTCTAGTGTTAGAAACTTTATCATTTTTACTTGAAGGAGAGCATATAAAAGTATCCAGAGTTCTAGTTTCATATACAACTCCAAATAAATTTTAGCAGAATGAAAAAATTTCTGTACAAACATTTAAATGGGCAGCAATAAAATATCAGCGAGCACAGTTAATGACCCCTTCCGTGATCTATGTGGTGATGAGCCCTCTGTGAGGGGTTCAGTTGCATATTTCTGCAGCAAAGGAAGCTGGAGATGTGACTGGCCTAACTCTAAAATTCAAAAATCTCCCAACAGGTACCAAGAAGGTTCATTTGTAATGACAGTTCATTCGCATTTACAGCTATATCCTTCTTAATCATTTCCTTCAATCCTGCTACCTAAACTTTAATCTTACCAAAAAAGTTAGAATTTCAGTTCTTGTTAACAATGCACATAAATCCAAACTTGGAAAATATTACAAAATTCTTTCAAAAGCTTCAAATACAACACAAAAATCGTCCATCTTTATAAATTGAAAAATTCCCTCCCCACCAAAATAGTTTCCCCCCCACCTGAAAAATCTGGAACTGAACTTTTCTGTATTTAGCAAAATGTCCCAGTACAATAGCCTGCTGTACAGCTGGATGACGACAAATCTGTCCTGTAAAACAGTCCCTTCCACTCCTAGTTTCTGAGCCACCTCATGGCTCTTGTTTGATGTAGAAGGTGGCAGAGCCATTGCTTTCTTGGTCAGATGCTCCTTGGAGGAAGCTATAATCCTCTCCATCTAGCAGCTCCTCCTTCAGCTGTGATGTGGTCACTGTATGAGACAGAAATGCACAGGATGTTACCAAGTCTTCTGGACTGCCCTGGCTGTTCATCTTCTATCTATTTTACAGCTAAGAAGATGTCATTTCTTCAATACCTATAAAGATGAAACCATGGAAGGCTAGGTGGAACTCAAGGGTAGAATGCTTGCCTAGCACACATGAGGTGATGGACTTGACCCCAGTACTGTAAAACAGACAACAAAAATAATAAAGGCCTAAAAGATACTTTTTTGTGTGTGTATGTTTCTAGGGCCTTGCATATGTGTTGGCAAGTACTCTACTATTGGGCTACACCTCTCAATTCTAATTTTAAAGTCTACTGTTAATTAATAAATGTTTAGGAGAGGAACAATGATGCACAATGGACACTACACAGTGGATGATCTCCAGTAGAATGCTCAAGTAACAGTGTTTAACTAAAATAATTGAAAATTTTTAGAATTAAATATTCACTTTTATGTCAATGCCTATAGAAACCAACATATTTCTTGTACATTTGGAGGTATAATACTCAACATGATAGTGCCTGCCTATGTAGCCCAAAATGGCCTTGAATTTGTGATCTTTCTGCCTCTACCTCCAGAGGGCTGGGATTCTAGGTATACACTACCACATCTAGCTAACATTTCTTTAGCCATCTCAGTTTTGATAAGTCTGAGATCACCAGCTATGCCTCCCTCCTCTTACCCGGGCCCCATGATTTTTTTTTTCTTTACTTTCTTTTTATTGAGACAAGGGCTCATGTAGTCCAGGCTGGCTTCCTGTCTCAGCCTACTACAAGTGCTGAAATTATAGGTATAAGCCAGCACAGTAAACTTATTTTAATATACCTAATTTTCAAATTAGTTTTATTAATATGTATGTATATATGTATGTATGTAACTGGAAAAAATACAGCATACAGTACATATGATCTCTCTTTTTCTCTATAAATACACACATGTTATGTGCGTAGTTTAGTACTATATTAGAACAGATAATTGAACAAAGGGAGCCTGCATGTGAAATAAAAACCTGCTTATACCAAAACCCCCTGAACTTAATTTCCTTCCTTCCTTCCTTCTGCCCTCACTCCTTGTGCTGGAAATTGACCCTAGGGCCTTGGGCACATTAGGCAAGTGCTCTTCTCAAGAGCTTCAGCCCCACCAGGCACCCTTTTAAAGTTTGAGACAGGGTCTTTGCTACGTTGCTCAGATTGACTTAGAATTTGTGATCTTCCTGCCTAGCACTTCCTTACAAGTGCTAGTTTACAGGTGTGTGACATCATTTTGCCCAAAATTATTTATGCTAGGTCAGTACTCTACCTCTGGGCTACACTTCCAGACTCTGTGTACTGATTTTAGTTTTGAAGATTTCTTTAAAAATTAATGACCTCTCTCCCAGTCCAAGTGTTTTGGCTCACACCAGTAGTCCCAGCAGTCTGGAGGCTGAAGGAAGTGGATCTTGAGTTTGAGGCCAGGATCGACTACCATACTGTATAATAAAATCAACAAAGATATACAGAACCCAGTCTTATCTATATTTTTGAGATGAGGCTTCACTATGTAGCTCTGGCTGGCCTGAAACTTGCTATGTTGATGGTAGAGACTAGCCTTGAACTCACATAGGTTCAACTCCTGAAGCTCAGATTAAAGGCATGTACCATCAGCTAGCACTTCTGATGTCTCATTTACCAAGTGTAAGGAATAATGTTTTGAGAGTTGACAATTCATCTTACTTTGGTTCCTATTTTGATATCAATATTGAAAACTTAATAGTCCAAAGACAAAAAAGTGAATATATTGTGTATAGTAAGAGCAAAAGAAACAACATACTGTTGAAAGGCAAAGCATGTGCAACTGTATAGTTCTTCCTTTGCTTAATAAAAATATGTTCTAATGAACATTAGCAAATATGCAATAGCTATATTTTAGATCTAACCAACATGCAGTAAGTATTACGAACATTTTAGTACTATCACAAGGATAAACACTGAAACAAAACCCACATTTCATTAAAGGTGCAGTACCCACAATAAAAGGTTGAATGTTATCTTGTTATACGATGATTAGATGGCTAAATGAATGGGAATCACCATGCTTCAAGATCAAAGATGTTTCACTCAAAAGGATGTGTTTTTATGTAAGAAAGATAAAGCTGAGGTTCTAAAGCACACCCTAAAGCTGTATGCATTTATACTCAAAACAAGTATCTGGAGTAGAATCATGCTAAAATATGGAAATGATGTACTTTAAAATCACTCAAGATAAAGGTGAAACATTCACTCAGAAATGGAATGTTTTAAATGCAAACTTCCACTTTTCATGAAAACGAAAATAAAGCCCGCCTTTATTTTCATCCTTTCTTCCTAGATGATGGATGATCGAGTGGCTCAATGCCACATTCTACACCAATGTGATTTCTAAACCATGCTTTTAAAAGGGATTCATTTTAGTCACACTATTTATGAACATTTCACAAGAGAAACAAATGGAAGTGACATTTCAAAAACGAATAATCATAAATTCTCCCAACAGCCGACCCAACGGTGGCTCTCAGACATGAAGGCAATCGTATAGTTTCTATAGTGTTTCATGGAGCAGATTACACCACAGCCCATAGGACACAGCCCAGAGCTCAGAAGACAGGCACTAAAGGAATGAGGAAGTCAGAAGCCACAAGGTTTTTCTTGTAGTATCTTACAAGTCAAGTTCAGCTTGTGAATCAGAGCCTCTATCAAAACATGACATACTCTTCCAAAATTATTCTGTTTAAAATACTGTTTCATAAATAGCACATATGAAAAGAGAAGTTAGTTCTTAGAGGGTGATACATTAAAAGAATAGCTAACATGTTGGCATTTGTCGAGAAAGGGTCTCTCAAGAGGCTGCCCATCTTCCTTCTGGGTTTATAGGTCTTAACACCATGCCTGGCCACAGCAGACGAAATCTGAGATTTGTAATCCAAATCTGTTCTTCATGTAAAACAGAGCATGGACATTTCCCTTGACCTAAGGCTACCATAGTAATCATCAGAAAAACTGACTGGTGGAAAACTGGCCACACACACTGGCAGAGCTGTGAGAGCAAAGGAGTACATCTTAAATAGAAGTGAAATAATGGCTAATAATGTCAGGCACAAAACATTCTGGCAAACAGACGAGAAGGGAACAAGGTACTAAAGTTCCACGTAGACTTTCAAAACTACAAAGCCATTTAGGAAATGCTGATCAGCTAAAGCAAGTCAGTTGAAAAGCAATCCTTAACTTGTGGAAGGATACATGCTAATTAAACATGCACTCTGGCTTTGAAGCTCCAAGATCTTTAATCTAAAGTAAGCTTTGGTTTTAGCAATTACAAGGGGTAAAACCTTGAGCAGTCTTCCTTGCCTCTACAACCCTGGTCTAACCAACTAAACACCAAAAAAGTCACTTACTTAATCACTGTGCACACAGAAACATGGAATTATGGAAATAAAGTTCAATCAATTAAATACCATGATATACAGTTAATGTGTCTCAAGTCTGTGATGATGCTCAGCTAGGATTTACTACCAAAACCAAAATTACTTGAACTCAACACACATTTTCTAAGAATGAGTCACTATGGAATGTTATGGAAAATGTCTCACTTTTTGGTCTGATTAATTAGATGAGTTCTTCAGGATCTCTCTCTCCCCCAAGTTAAGTCACATGGATGTCTACAATGTAATATGTTAGCCATTTTAATTAAAGAATGAAATATCAGAAGTTGCCTCATAATTCCTAAAATGACAGCTTTCACAAGACGTAAGGACACCAAAATCTCCTTTTCCTGATGACTCATCTTAGTGAAATGCCTACCAGTGAAAATGGATATTTTAGTTAAAAAAAAAGAGGAAAAGAAGAAAAAGAAAAGCTTTGAGTCAGCACTGCCACGCCAGACCATGCTCTGTGTCCCACCACCCTGCCCAGCACTTGACCCTCTAGTACCTGTGGTGCTGCCGTCACTAGTTACCTGTTTTGAGGCTGGGCCTGAACTCTCGGCTAGTGCTGGGAGGTGGGAAGGCCTCCAGGGCTGTCTGTGCTGGCAGGGTTCGATATGGAGGAGGAGTCAACTCTTCGTCCCCAGAGAAACTCCTCCGCACCCCGCCTGTCATGGGCAGGCTCGACAAACTGACAGGCTTCTTCCCAACTGGCATCTTCCTCTCTAAACATCAAGTCAGACTGAAGTAAGCTTTGACTTAGGTGTGTGATAAGAAAAAGTGCATCGCATTACTAGGGAGGCTGGGTTGTACAGTCAGCTGATTGTGGAAGGCTTAACTTATGCATATATGCGTGTGTGTGCACATGTGTCCATGCACAGCAAATGCACATGCTGGGGGTAGGTTGGTTCCAATCTCTCCGGTTTGATAATCCTGGTTTTGACGCTCAAGCTTAAAATGACTAAAGAAGGCAAAACAAACTACAGAGTAGTTAGTGAAAACAACTGCTGGGTGAATTTCACTCAAGAAAACAAAATACTGGGTGAAAAGCCAATAGAAGGGGAGGGTCTTTATTTACTTTCTTGTAGTAGTGCTGGAGACCAGCAGGCTCTCATGCATGCTGGGCAAATGCTACAGTGATCTACACACTGATCCCAAGAGAAAGCCTCTGAGCATAACTTTTTTAAAGGTGTTTGCCACCAATGCCCGGCCTGAGCGTAACTTTTAAGGCAGCATTTCCCTGGTGACAGAGCCCAATTAAGGCCCTTTGGGGGAGAAATCAAACAAAAATAGCTTCCTAAGTATCGATTGGATGGCACAATTACATTGCTATATAGTGTGATCCCCTAAGTTTTTGTCAACAGTGCCTTCAGACAGCATTTGTAATTCTGACCTAGAAAAGCACTTCTAAAATTCAAAGCTTATTACATATTGCTTACAAGTTTTTATTTATTTATTTATTTTTTTGGTTTTTCGAGACAGGGTTTCTCTGTGGTTTTGTGCTTACAAGTTTTTAATCTCACATATTTGGACAGGATCTCAGACAGCCCAGGCTCGTTTTGAACTAACTATATAGACAAGGCAGAACCTCAACTTCCTGCCCCCATCTTCTAAGTGCTGGAATCACAAGTGTGCACCACTGCGCTCAGCTTTCTTTCTTTCTTTTTTTTTTTTTGGTTTTTTTGAGACAGGGTTTTTCTGTGGTTTTGGAGCCTGTCCTGGAACTAGTTCTTGTAGACCAGGCTGGTCTCGAACTCAGAGATCTGCCTGCCTCTGCCTCTCGAGTGCTGGGATTAAAGGTGTGCGCCACCACCGCCTGGCATGCGCTCAGCTTTCTTAATTAATTAATTAATTAGTTTCAAGGCGAGGTCTCACATGGACTGTGCTGTCCTTAAACTAATTAGGTAGCCCACAAGAAACTTTAGGTTCTAATCTTCCTGTTTTTGCCTCCTATGTGCTAGGGCTATAAAGGCATATACCATTTTTAGTTACAGGTTCATAAGTAAACATAAACAGTCTAGACTTACAAAATGCTTCTACCAAACTAAAATATGTTTTAAACTTTGCAAACACTGAATCACTAGGCATGGTGCAATAAGGGTGAAAACGGAAAGATACTATATTTTTACAAATGTACATTTTATCTGTTTTCCTCCCACGTTTATAATGACCCAGTAGCCAGCTAAACTTTAGATAATCAGAATTAAATGCATAATTTTAAGTCAGCAGCATTCCCATAAAGATGAATCTGAAAGTGAAGTGAGTTCACACTCAGCTCTCCAATGCCAGAACACTGTCATGTGCAGTGACTATCTGATTTTTTTCTAACACATTCCGAGTAAAACACCAGGCAAAACCACCAAGTCCTACACACAGTACCTCCTGAAAACAGAGATTTAAGCTGCTTCAGATTACTATGGCTTGAGAAAAAGTTCTTTGAGTCTGAACAGCTTATAAGACTCTCCTGGTAAAACTGCACTCTTATTTTCCAAAGGGCTAGTTAACAACTGTCCCTATGTAACACACTTATAGCACAAACCTGGCTCACTGCTCACCATGCCAGACAATGAAGACAATCAACTATCCTGGTGGACAATAAAGACTACCACAACCACTTTAGTACAGAAGACAACCGAGCTTCAAGAAACAACAGAATCAGAACACAACAATCCACCAGTGAACTAAAGACAGACACCAGGTTCTGAAGCTCATCTGCTATGGGTAAGTCTGCCTGCAGTGAATAACCTTGATTTTCATTTTTATTTACATGTATGTGTGTGTCAGTATGCACATACATGTAGGTGCTATCACAGGCAAGAGGCTGTTGCCTCTTGCTAAAGTTCCAGACAGTAACGAACCAACCAATGTGGGTGGTCAATTCTAACTTGGGTTGGGTCCTCCTCCAGAGCAGCAAGTGCTCTTTCCAGCTCCCAGACAAATTAAGATTTTTTTCCCCCCAAGACACAGTTTCTCTGTGTAGCCTTGGTTCTCCAGGAACTTGCTCTATAGATTAGGCTGTTCTCAAATTTATCTGCTTGCCTCTGCTGGGATTAAAGTGCTGGGATTAAAGACGTGTGCCATCACTGCTCAGCAACAACTTGGTTTTGTCTTCTAGCACTGACATAAGCATGTGCCACGTTGCTTTTTATGTAAGTTCAGGGAACCAAATTATGGCCTTCATGATTGTGTTGTAAGTATGTTACAACTGAACTAGCCATGCAGTACCACTCTGCATCCCAATCCGCCTTTGGGACAGGGTATCATTCTGTAATTTATGTTGACTTAGAACTCACTATGCAATCCATGCTGGCCTTGAATTTGCAGCAATCCTCCTATCTCCCCCGCCCCCAATGAAATTATGAGCCTAAGATACCACATCTAGCCTTGGGAAAAATATTTCTAATAAAAGTTTGCATAATAGGGGAAAAATAACAATTCTGCCAGCAATGGTGGTTAGTGTCTTTAATTGAAGCATGCATTCTGGAGGCAGAGACAGGTGGTTCTCTGAATTCCTGGCTATGCTGGTTTACAGAGTAAGTTCTAGGACAGTCAGGGATATACAGAGAAACTCTGGCTCAAACTATCCCCTCAAAAAAATTCCTACGGAATAGGAAATAAATAGCACTTTTATAAAATGATTGCTTACTATATTTCTTCAATTCCAACATTCAAAAAGCATTTTTCTAAGATTTTGGCAATAAAACCATACTCACTTGATGATACACTTATTATCTTTACTTGGTCCACTTACTGCAACATTTGTATTTTGCTTCAGAAAACACTCCAGAGTTTGCAGAGTGTTACATAGTTACATTCCACAATATTTACTTATATTTTTCTGAAATGGGAAAAAATTCTCAATTCCAAAACAAAGCATATCTGATTCCAAGGGTTTCTAGTAAGGAATCATCATTTATTTTACTTTCTATATCTAATAATTGTAAGGCACTAGTCATGATATCATAGTATTAAGAACAAAATGTCAGAGCTAAGGGGTATGTTCCATCTATAGCTAAAGTTACTCTCTAGTTCAGAAACCTGGGAATGTTAAATAGCACCAAAATTTGGGTAACTAATATTCTTACTTTGTCAATTCACTCATTTCAAAGATTTAAACACTTAAGCCAGAAACAAACCTTGCAACGATAAAAAAGAGGCAAGAAAACTGCACATAATGCTCATTAGTTAGTAAAAAGGATTGTTTCCCTTAAAAAAAAAGGATTTAATATATATTTACATGCACCTGAGTGTGTATATATGTACATACACACATGTATGTATATATATACTCCATGTGTGACCTCTGATTCAGAAAAGAACCCGGATCCCTTGGAATTCGAGTTATAAGCATTGTAACTTATATGTTAGGTCCTGGGAAACGAACCTGGTCATCTGCAAGGGCACCAAGTGGTGCTAATGACTGAGCCACCTCTCTAGCTCCCTTTCTGTTTTTGAAGTCAGTCTTATTCTATAGCCCAGGCTGGCCTGAAACTTGTGGCAATCCTTTCTGCCTCAGCTTCCTGAGGGCTGGGATTACAAGTATGAGTCACCATACCCAGCAAGTTTTAAAAAAGGCTTTCCATAAGCCATTGAGAATACACACATACACACACACACGTATATGTAGAATTACACCCATATACATCACCTATTTATGTGTATGTGTATTCTTCCTGCCTCCTTAAGACAGGCTCTCACGAAGCCTAGGTAGGCCTTGAACTTGCTATGGAACCGAGAATGACCATGAACTCCTGCCTCTGCTTGTTGAGTGTTGTCTCCATGCCAGGCTAAAACCAGTTAACTTCAGCATCTTAAAATCTTCTGAAATCTTTCTCAAATTCTTGTCCAACAAAATGATAAGACAGTTTAAACGAGTCTGTTAAATTCACTTTACAGAAAACTAAAATTCTAGGTCTAAGGGAGGTTCTGCCCATAGAGGAAAGGGCAAATGATAAGCCTGCTTTACAATGATGTCATGCAAGTTATCACTAGTTGAGGGTAGACAATGATTTTGTGTTTTTGCTTTTTTTCTTCGAGACAGAATTAACCTGTAGCTTTGAAGCCTGTCCTGAAACTCAGTTTGTAGACCAGGCTGGCCTTGAACTCTCCTGAGTGCTGGAATTAAAGATGTGTGCTACCAATGTCTGACATAGTGTTTTATGATGGGAGGAAACTTCATTTTCTTTTTTTTAAAAAAATATTTATTAATTATGTATGCAATGTTCTGTCTCTGTGTATGCCTACAGGCCAGAAGAGGGCACCAGACCTCATTACAGATGGTTGTGAGTCATGTGGTTGCTGGGAATTGAACTCAGGACCTATGGAAGAGGAGACAATGCTCTTAACTGCTGAGCCATCTTTCCAGCCCCTTCATTTTCTTTTTTGAGACAGGGTTTCTCTGCAAAGGGTTGGCTATCCTGGAACTTGCTCTCCTCCCGCGTGCTGGGATTAAAGGAGTGCGTCACCACCACCCGACTTGGAAACTTGCTTTTCAAAGCACCAGCATAGTAATTAGGTTTGTCACTTTAAAAAAGTTATAAATAACTGTTAATCAGGAAGAACAGAGAATATCTGGTTAATCTGTAGGCACATTTTACTATAAAAAGTATCTTAAACATTTTTTTAAAATTTTAGAATAAGATATTCTATAACAAGCTTCATGAACAGAACTCACGCCTTTCTATGGTAGTTGAAAAACATTTTATGTTATTGTGGCTAATAATGACAACCACAATTTATTGTAAGAAAAATACATTACAGGAAGCATTTAAAAACTGATTTTGTTAGCTAGATTACTTAGATGATTTCCTCCTTATTTTGATGTGTGTCTGTGACATGTGATATACCCATGTATGAGGGAGTCTGTTCTTCCTGGGGAGGCTTATCACTTTGCACCTCAGTGTTTTTTTTCCAGACAGGATTTATTTGTTTAGATTTGGTTGTCCTGGAACCAGCTCTATAGTCCAGGCTAGCCTCAAACTCAAAAGAGATCGGCCTGGTTCTGCCTGAGTGCTAGGAAAAGAGGCGTGTGCCACCACCTCAGGTTCCCACCTCTGCATTGTACCCACCGAGCTGTCTCCCCAGCCCTTCAATGCTGATTTCTCAGGATTATCATTTGATACAGAGCGTACACTGTAGGAATGATGGCTATTATAAGCATCAAGCAGTATTTTTTTTCTTCATTAAAAAACGTTTAAAGAGTGATTAACCTTGAGTAGGTCTATAATCATTTCAAGAAGCATTCTCAGGCTCTGTTCGTTCTTTATCTGTGTGCTTTAAACACACAGATAAAGAGTATCATTTCTCCTGTCAATTAAAAGTGTTTCTTAGTATCAAAAAGGTTTGCCTTTTATGTTATACTGCACCTTTAAGCATAATACATAATGAACAAGCATCAGTTCTCACAGGGATGTAATTTTCTGTGCAAAAATACTGAGACCTCAATTGTTTAACAATTAGAAAACATATACAAACACATCGCGACCCACTTTTCTTATGTCCTTTGTATTGCTGCGACTTAGCCTTTTTCTTCTGTTTTGAAGAAGCTGACTGGCTTTCTCTTGATGCTGAAAAATTAAAGGGAAGAATTGGTAATGGAGAAAGGCTTACAATTTTAGACACAAATTGGATGAATTATCTTTATGAAGTACACACTGCTTTTAGGGGATACATTTGTCTAACGAAATCATTCCCCGCACTACTCAACAACATTTACAAATGATATATTTTTAATCTGTAATGTTCAACTTGACAATAGTGTAGTTTAACTTGGTGATTTGGGGTTTTCTCTATTTACTATATAACTAATACCAGCTTCATATTGCCATGACATTCACGGTCTAATTCTGTGATATTGTGGAGTAACTTACCTGGCAACTCATCAGACATTGATATATTCTTGTCCTTTGAACTACAAGATGATTTACATGAGAGAGCTCTCTGTAGAATTAGCTGGTTTTTGTAAAAAGACATGTTTTCTGTATTAGCAACTTACACTGTGATGCTGGAGGCTGTAGTTGATATCCAGTTAACTGACACCACCCTACAGGATAGAGGTCAGGGGACTCACAGTCTACCCACTGATCATACTCTTCTTCCCATCCATCAAAATGTATCCTCAAGAGACGATGAATAATTCGAGTAACTGTAGCTACACATATTAAACGTGGCTCCATGAGATCTACAGCTTCTAATTTCATTCCTACACGAAATCCGTGATTTGGAACGTCCTGACATAGAGAAACAAAGTGTGAACACTACTGCTCAGGAAAGTGCAGTCGGCTACCACCCAGGACAGCAAATGATACATCTAAGATCCTTTCCTAAAGCTCACAGCAATTCTTTAGTTATGTCACCACATTGCAACAGGGACACATTTAACAACTAGTCAGGAAAAGTACTCATTTTCATTTCCCTCTGGTTAAAGATCAAATAGTTCAGGGCTGACAAAAATGGCTCAGTGTGCAAAGTGCAAGTCTGGTAACCGGACTTGAACCCAGAACCCACGTAAAGGTTTGCTCTACATCTACATGTAAGTCTTGGTACAAAGAACCCCCTACGCTAATTAAAAAAAAGTTTATAAACATGCCTTTTTCCCCAAAGAAAATACTTATATAATGTTTTGTTAATTTCATTAAGAAATTCTTTTTCTTTCTTTTCTTTTTCTTTTTCATTGACACAGGGTTTCTCTGTGTAGGTTTGGAGCCTGTCCTGGAACTCTCTCTGTAGACCAAGCTGGCCTCAAACTCACAGAGAGCCCCCTGCTTCTTCCTCCCGAGTTCTGGGATTAAGGATGTGTGCCACCACTGCCTGGCTTTCATTAAGAAACTCTAATATAAGGCAAAGAACTTTGGCTCACGGATTCCTTCCATTCTTATGTCATAATCAATGCCACAGTTGAAATTTACCTTATTAAATAGTTTTACTGGTGCTGCAATGGAGCCGGTTTCCCTGAGGTAGTCAAACCATTTAAAAGGAAGCTTTGTGTAACCTAAAAAACACAACTGGTTTAGGTTAACAGTTCATTTAAAATTAGCATCCGCTAAAAATGTAGATAATAACTTAGTACATGAAATCTCAGAATTTAGGTGATATGATAATTTCTTTTTATTCTGTTTTAAAAATTCTATTTTTGAGATTGCAGTCCCAAATAGCTCAGGCTAGCTTCAAACATGTTATGTAGTAGAAGGCTAACCTTATACTCCTTGCTTCTCGATTTCCAAATATGGGATTGAGGGTTTGTACACTTCACTTAGTGATACAAAGAACTACCTCATGCTGTAAGATTACTGAGCATACTGGCTCCATACTATGAGTTGTCCTCCTTTGCAGACACATGTGTATACTTCCTTACCCTCATGCAGAAATGATTCTTTTTTCTTTACTACAAGGACAGACTTTGGTGGCATTGGAGATCTAGTCCAGGGCCTCAGCATACTGGACAAGGTACTCCTACCACCAAGAGCTACAACCGTTCCCTGCAATACTAGGCTTTACAACAGTCTAACATTTCACACTCTGAATTATTTCTTTTTTGTGAAGGAAATTAAACTGTCTGAGATAATGTCAGCAAGTTTTTGCCTTAACACCATGTAGAGAAAAAAGCCAAAGGTCCTGAAGCTAGAAAGTCACTGGTTAAATGAGAGCTACTACTCTCTTCTAAGATAAGATAGCTTGGTGTGGTCATTCACACCTTTAATTCCAGCATTCTGGAGGCAGAGGCAGGAGAATGTCTGTGGTTTATATAGTGAGTTCTAGACCAGCTAAGAATACAGGGACCATGTCCCAACAACACAAAAATAGAAGCCATGTAACAAATCTAAAGAGAGCACCTTCATTTCTGTGAAGGCTGAGTATTCATTTAAAAAGTGCTCATGTGGGAGCTGGAGAGATGGCTGAGCAGGTCAGACCAGGGCTGCTCTCCCAGAAGACTAGGCTCAGTTCCCAGCACCTGCTGGTCCTGTCTGTAACTACAGTTCCAGGGGATCTGATGCCCTCTTTTTTCCTCCTCAGGTACCTGGCACACAGCACCCAAGTGATGCACAGACATACATACAGGCAAAATACCTATATATATAGATTAATAAAAAATATTCTAAAAAAGCCTATAGTACTGTAACAGATTAAGATTGCTATGTTAGAGGGTTTGTAAATATCGATACACATTGTAACATGAGCAGGTTCAGAAGAAACTAACACTGTAATTTATTAAAATGAGCTAAAATACAAAGTTTGTGCTTTATTTTAATTAACGTATTAACCTTGAGCAGGGTCTTGTGTAGTCCTGGCTAGTCTGGACTCACTATATAAATTCACTATATACATAAACTATATAAATGTGGAGCAGGCAGGTCTCCAACTCGTGGGTGATCCTCCTGTCTTTGCTCCCAAGTGCTGGGATTTCAGACATGTACCACCACACATAACTTCAGAGTATCCCAAAGCTCTTGCTTGTTTTAAGTCTATCTATACACACCCATATATATTGTGTATAAGTACAAACACAAAAAGAAAATTAGGTCTGTGTTAAATGTAAGCAGGAACCACACAGAAACAAAGCAAGACAAAAAATGAGTGTTTATACCGGGATGAAGTACCTCTGGGTGGAGTCAGTTCTATCATATTAATTTCACAGAAACCCACAGGGAAAATAGAAGGAGAGGTTGCATGGTAACAGAACCAGTCAGATCCATCTGCTGCTTCTGAGCCATCGATCCCAATCATCAGGAACCCATCAGCCAGCACCTTTGAAATCAAGAGAATCCCAAGTACTTAAACATGAAAACTACTATTACAAAAAAAAAAAAAGGTATTTTAAATATTCTGAAAGGAAGAAAAATCTATTACTAAATACCACTTTCTTACTGGATATTAAATAGATATAAATAATAAGAAACTGATTGTTAATGTGTATCAGATATAAAAACCATACAGAAGGTATTTCAGAAAAGCAAGTTTACCACAGAGATGATTTCAATGTCTTTGACTAATAACGAATTGGAATACTCTTTTCATAATTAGACCATCTAGTGTCCAGTGTGTGAAATGATGATTACCAAGTCTAATGAGCAGAGTTCAATCCCCAGGACCCAAATGGTGGGAGAAGAGATTCAACTTCCTCAAGTTGCCACATGGTGGGAGAAGAGATTCAACTTCCTCAAGTTGCCTCTGATCTCTACAAATCTTTCCCCGCACATCTCTCTCTCTCTCTCTCTCTCTCTCTCTCTCTCTCTCTCTCTCTCTCTCTCACACACACACACACACACACACACACACACACACACACGACAAAGCTAGGCAATAGTGGCAAATGCCTTTAATTCTAGCACTCTGGAGGCAGATCTCTGTGACTTCCAGGCTAGCCTGGTCTTCAGAGTGAGCACCAGGATAGCTAACGCTACAGAGGGGCCCTATCTTGAAAAACAACATCATCTTCCCACCCCCAAGCCAAACAAAACCCAACCCAAACCAACAATAATACTGTCCACAAACACCATCTAGTGTTAAGTGTCATGTTTTCAGTCCTAACATGATAAAGCTTTCCTTCTCTTCTGACTTTGTATAGAGAATACCCTTGCTAAACCTCTACCTTCTTCAAACTGCCTTCTTTTACCATGCTCTTCTACAACACTAAGGCTGCTTGGGCCCAACAAAGGGTCCTCTTAACTCCACTTTATGCCTCAGACTGCTATTAATAAATAGCACACCTGCCTCCTGACACCAGAACTTGAATGTGAGATGCTCTCACTCCAACTTCTCAAGCCTGGACTAATTATAGAGTTGTAGCAACTCATCTAGCTCCTCCCAAATTGAAAAAAAGGATTTCATTCATTCATTCTACAGTGTTCTGCCTGCATGTATTCCTGCATGCCAGAAGAGGGCATTAGAAATGGTTGTTATCCACCATGTGGTTGCTGGGAATTGAACTCAGGACCTCTGCAAGAGCAGCCAGTGCACTTTTTAAAAAACACATCGAACTTCTTTATCTTGCTCAATTATCACAAGAACATCTTGCCCAAACACATCATGTTTTAGTAACTTTCTTCCCAGACATACATAGGTTCCCTTCTGTTTTTAAACCAGGTTCTTCTGATTAAACTTCTCCAATTTAGAATATATTCTCTTACCTTTCTAATGGTTGCAACACATATTGTCGAAAGATTTAATGGGTCTATAGCCTCCAATTTCATTCCTTCTTTGAACCATTCTCCACTCTGGTCTACTTCTTTTACCTGGAGAAGGCATATACATTATGCATGTCTTTTAGAATTATTTATTCAGTGTGTGCGTATGTGTGCAGGTGCTACTGAGCATGTGTAGGTCAGAGAACTTTTTGGGAGTCAGTTCTTCCTTCCCACCCTGTTGAGGTCTCCTGCACTGTGTACTGCAGGCTGTATGAGCTGTAAGCTTCCAGACAATTCTCCTATCTGCACTTCTCATTTTGATGTAGGAGTGTTTGGATTACACATGCGCTCCCTGGCAACTGCACCAGGCTTTTCACAAATGTTCAGAGCATCAGGATGTGCAGTGGTACCCAAACCTGCTAAGGTATCTTTTCCTGGTCCATAACCCACCCGTACCCTCCCTCCCCCACAGGGTCTTTCTCTGTAGCACAGGCTGGCCTAAAAAAACTTGTGGTAATCCTTTTCTTTCAGCCTCCGAAATGTTTCTATTTTAATAATGAAAATATTTCTGGCCAGGTAAAGGTGGCGCATGAATTTAATAGCAGTACTCGGGAGGCAGGGGCAGATGGCTAAAGGCCAGCCTGGTCTACAAAGTGAGTTCCAGGCAACCAGGTATAGAAACCCTGTCTTGAAACACACACACACACACACACACACACACACACACACACACCAAAACAAACAAACAAAAAAACAAACCACCAATCCTATCCACTTAATGTTATAACGCCCTTTATTTAGGTAATAGAAAGAACTCATACATGTACACATAATTTAGGAATGAGTATAATAATGATTTGTGACATCTAAGGATTATAGATTTTAGTGAGCATATGTGATACCCACAACTTTAGGAAAAACTCCACAACCCTCTTTCAACCTAATTTACATGAGGGCTCTTATAGGAACTTCTTACCTTAGCAAATAAATGTGGTGGTGTATCAAAATGTCCATCCTGTTTCTTTGTAATATCTACAAGGAAAAGTTACATACTAATCTGTCAGCATTTGTGAGATCAAAAAAAAACAAAAAAAAAAAACCTTCCTTGAAGGGTTCGAACTTACAAGGTATATAATACTCTAAAACACAGCAAAAAACAAAAACATGTCTTCTACATTTATGATGGTGAATAATATTAATTATATCCTGCACAGCCTGCACCCGTCAGTAGGCCTTTCTAGAAGAATGTTTTTGTGTGTTTAGTCAGGTCTAGTTAAACTTAAACTTGCCATCTAGACGATAAGTAAGTGTAAAGGAGATCCCTTTTCATCTTTCAAATGTCTGGATAATTAGACAATTTTGAGGAAAAAAAGAGATTTTAAAAGAATTTATTTTGGTGCTAGAAATCAAACCCTCATGTATGAAAAGTAGATCATTTTAAATAGGGAGGAAGAGAAAGGAACACATGGAATTATACCGGGGACCAACTTCAACAAAAATACCTCTTGCCAGGTTAGAAGCGTGGGAATTTAGGAATATAGGTGTGGGGATTTAGGGATATAGTAAAGAATATGAAGACGCGAATGAAAATAGAATGGAGAAACGCAGAATAGTATCAGGAAAAAATTCCAATGAGTACTGAAATTTTCCCACATTTCATTTCCAATTTCTTTAAATACTCTCGACCCCAAAAGGTAAAAGTAAGACAAAAAAATTTGCATTATCATGATACAAGGAAATGAACAGACGAATTGAAGGTTGTAGGCTACAACCATTCTGCTGCTGGAACAAAACAAGTCACCCAAGACCAAAACATTCTGGAGGTAAACCACTCCCTGGGTGGAATCCAAAGTTATCTCCTTAAGGGAACTGGAACTTAGTTGGATCCATAGACTTTTGTTTGAAACATATCTATATATTTCTCTATTCCTGAAATACAAGGTCTGGCTATTAGCTATCCTGTTGACAATAATCTAGGGAAAACTCTCTGATCTACATCTATGTGGGGCCTTTGTGAAGTAGAAGCACTATAACCTTGAAAAAACTAGAGCTAAGTTCCAACTCTCTGACCTTTGGTCAACAAGAAAATAGGTTCCCATTTTCGGGCCCCCACAGAATCAGTATTCTAATTACAGGAGAGTCAAACTAAAATGCTTTCTTTGATCTATTCTTATAGAGAGAAACAACCAAGTAGTTTATTCAACCTCACTGATAAACTTTTAAATTTTTGTGACAGTTGCTTACCAGATCTTTTGAATCGATGGCCTATGCTTCGAGACCATCCGATATGGTGGATTAAGGGGCTGTGCATGTGGCACCAGAAGTCATCCGTTCGATCTTCACTCTCTTCATACACTAACCTTAATCTTCCTCCAATTACACTTTCCACCACTGCTACTCTTGTTCGACATAAATGCCTCTTGTCGACTACTTCTACTCTCATGCAAGGCTTGAAAGGGTACTGCATACTCTCTGAAACCTTCAAACAAAAGCAGAAAGATCCTGTATGAAACTCACAACAAAGGTCTACAAGTAGTTTCAATATTGCCCTGTCAATACTGTATGTATTTATGTATTTGCTTTGTCTTTTTTTTTTTTTTTTTGGACACAGTACCTATCTGTAAGTAGCCCTGGCTGTCTTTAACCCTGCTAGTAGTGGAAGCTGACCTTGAACTCAAGAGATCCACTAGTCTCTACCTCCCAAGTGCAGTGATTAAATAAGTGCACCCACCATGCCCTGGCTCTCATTGTTTTGGGGACTAGAGTTTCACTTTGTAGTCTAGAAGTTAAGTTTACACGGTTGGCCATCTTTCTGCCTTAATCTCCTGAGTACTAAGATTACAGGTATGAGTCACCCTTTCTGAACATATATTTTGATATTTAACAGATCAGAAATTGTAATTCCTTAAAAACCCCTCTAAGTAATTCTTTTAGGATTCTATTTTTACCTTTTGTGAGAAATCGGGAGGAAGCGTTTTGGCACCAGTGAGTCTCTTTACTAGAAAAGCTTTCCAGTTTGTGTATTTGTGCTGAACAGCTAAAAGAAAAAAAATAACTAGTCAGCAAAGAGGATTTCACAAAATAATTAAAACAAAACAAAACAAGGTTAACAAGTTTCTCTGGAAGTCATGACTATGAAATAAAGTACTGAAAAGTAGCAAGAATGGAGAAAATAAGTATGTCTTCCTAACATAAAAATATTTTAATTACTGTATCACATTAGGATATTATATTTAAGATTTAAGAAAGCACTAAGATATATACATACACTGAAAATGACCAAGGAGCTGCAGAGTTGGCCCAGTGGTTTAGAGAACTTGTTGCTACTCTTATGGGGTACTGGAGTTTGATTCCTAGTACCTACAAAACGGCTTACAACTGTCTAGAACTACAGCTCGGGGGGGAGGCTCTACTTCCCTCTGTGGGGTCAGGCATGCATGCACGTATATGTACTTGCAAGCAAAATACTCATACCTATAAAATAGTGAATATGAAGTTTAAAATAAAATAATAAAATGACAGGGAGGCTACTCACTTCTAGGAGGAACGAGAGGTTTTCCACTGGCTGCACACCAACCAACTGGATGAATATCAGACCCACATATATTGCACCAGAAGTCCAGAGAAGAATCATTTTCAAATCCTTCATATCTCAAAAGGGCATTATAACCTAAAACCAACAAACTGATCATTACATAGTAAGATAATAAATTAAAATGATTCAACCCCTAGGGTGATGGCTGTCAAACTCTGCCTTCCCTCTGTAGCAGAACCACTTGCTGTTATTTATAAGCAGAGGGTAGTCCCTTCCAGGGACTCCTGCCCATGCCAGGGGTTAGGATTTAGACATGGGGTGGTGTGGACAACCTACACTTATAAGTCCCGGGGCAATAATGAATCTGTTGGACTATGATCCAACTTTGAGAATCCCTTGTTAATACAAAGACAATTTTTCAGTGCATGGCCTTTCCCTTTCTATTTCAATTAATATAATTTCTCAACTCTCAGAAGGGGGAACACCTTAGCGAAAACAAGGTGTGATAGTTTCATGAGAGCGTGCAGTTTTCTTTTTCTTTTGAGACAGAATCTCATGTAGATGAAGCTGGACCAAATGGACTATATATACAGCTGGAGACAACCTTCTGCTCCTCCCTCCATCTACCAAGTGCTAGAATGTTAAGTGTGATCAGTAAGTCTGAAACAGTTCTTAAAGTTTTGTTTTTGGGATGTGTATGTGTGTACATGCATGTGCAGGTCAAAGGACAATCTTAGGTGTTGGTCCTTCCCTTCCGCCCCGTTTGAGATAGGGTCTTTGGCTGTCTGCCACAGTAAACCAAGCTAGCTGGGCCATAAGTTGGGCCAGCCAGCGTTGGGCAAGAATTTCCAAGTAAAATTTAAGTTTTTTTTTTAAAGGCTTTTAAACCCACAAAAAAACAGGAGCCAAGTGTAGCTTTGTGGTAACAAGTTTTCTGATAGGCTCTGTTTGCAAGGGAGGTGCAGTAAAAACCGTGTGGCTTCTTAAAAAAAAAAAAAAAAAAGCGGCAGCTTCCTGGATTGCTAGCACAAAAGGCTGGAGGATTTAAATGGGTTCTGTGAGCAAATTGCTACATAGACTTGCTGTGTGCCTAAAAATGGGGCAATGTACGTGGCTCTCAGAGGCAGCAAACATGCTTCTGCCATGTTGGACTGGACAGAGCAAACAGGCATAGCAGTGTTGTCTTTAGCCATGCCCACTTAGCATTAAAAAAAGGGGGGGCCTTCTGACAAAAAATAATTACAGATATGAAATAAGTACAGATTCAGATAAAAAAGACCTCTAAATGGGCCACAGTGATGGGGTAAATGTACATAGGCTTGGGACAGAGAAGAAAAAGAGTAAAGAGACAGTGAATGTAATAGAAAAGAGTACAGAAGTCACAGGCTAAAGGAGTAAAGATAATAAAATATTAAACTTGTAGAAAAAGTAATAGAATAGGAAAAATAAGCCATGTAAAGATGGAAAATACAGAGTCTGTTATGTATATTATTGTGTCTTTGAATTTTTTGACTGTGAAAGAGTTAAGTACAGAGAGACATTTCATTGTACGAGCTGCTAAGCTAAACCAGCACAGATATTTTTAAGGTATTCTGATTCCAAAATTTGGGTGTAAAGATTTGTTACTTTGGAAAAAAGGTTCTTCTTTTGTTTCCACAGAACATGAGAACCTATGGATTTCTTCCAGACTAATGTGGTTTGATGGACCAAGACCCCCTTGAAAGTTCACCATGAACACTCCCAAAAATTACTTCGCCCAATAAAAAGCAGGAAGCAGTTTGGAAAGAACTACACCTATATTCCCAAATATTGCCTATAAATGTTTATATACATTTAAAGGGGAATATGCTATAGAGATTTGCATTGGTATGGATCTTGTTTTACTGATACAAATTTAAGGTCAATTTTATTATATTGTGTATATGTATTTCTGATCTTGATTGAGGTACTGTGTTTGAACAGCTCATTTAAAAATGTAATGTACAGTTAAGAAATATAATAGTCATTCAGTCAACAACATAACATCTAGTCATGTTAAGTTTTCTAGATATATAGAGATATATTTCAGTTAGACAGATATTCTTCAATTCTTTCAGAGACCTTCAGAATATGGCATTTAAAATGTTTGAATAACTTAGGTCTTCTCATGACATGAAAGACATCTGCTCCTGGCATCACCAATCTTCTTCAAGAGGATGACAGGCATCAAAGAAGCTCCTTATGGTGTTTGTTAGCCGTTTGGGCTAGAAACTGCTCCTGCTTCGTGGGAGGGAAAGTCTGCTGGAAACTATGGGCCCGTAGGCCAAAGATGGATGCCCCAATGTTACAGAAGAACTTTGCGTGACTGCTCAGGTAGCCAGATTATTTCTGTCAATTCTAGTTTTGGAAGTTGCTTACAATGCACTTTCTGTTATCTTAGGTAACATATCCTTCTGGAGTCTTTTATGGAGTCGAAGAATAGTTACAATTATAGTTTTTTTTTTAGTTATGATAAAAGATAAAGTAGATATAAATATTGTTAACTATAACTCTTGCTTGATAACTGTTTTGCTATATGTAATTTTACTATGTTAAAGTTAAAACCTCCTTTTAATTTAAATAAAAAAGGAAATGGTGTAAGAGGGCCTTCTATATATATGTGTTGCTTTTATTGGTTAATGAATAAAGAAACTGGCTTGGCTTGATAGGGCAGAGTAGAGTCAGGTGGGGAAAACTAGACTGAATGCTGGAAGAAAGAAGGCAGAGTCAGGGGGAAGACATGTAGCCCAATCAGAGACAGATGCTGAACTTTACCCAGTAAGCCACAGCCTTATAGCAATACACAGATTAATGGAGATGAGTTAGTTTAGGATATGAGTTAGCCAGAAACGTGCTTAAGCTATTGCCCAAACAATATTGCAAATAGTATGGTTTCTGTGTGATTACTTTGGGGCTGAGTAGCTGAAAACAAAGAAGCAGCCTACTATAACAAAGATATATGAAGTAAACAGAAAAAAACCCAACAAAACCCAGAAATATAAAACCAGAACTAGTAATTAGGAATAGTAAACGTAATTAGATAGTAAATATGCCCCTTTGAACTACTTATATCATGTGACTCAAACATCTGGGACAAAAGCTGTGATGGAGCATTTAAAGAATGATTATGTAGGAAGTTGTCTCAAGGAAAAGACATGGAATTGAAGAAAACAGAGCCTGGGACTCTTGCTTGTCAGTGATTAAATGCAAACATAAAACAAACAAAAAAACCCAACAAACTTTGATTGAGAAAAACCAGCTTCATGTTAACAGACCATTTATGTTGGGGAAGCAATAAAAAAAAAATCTGTTCAACACTTCATAGTGAAGTTGCAAACTATGGCTCCCTTAAAGGATAAAGAGGCTATTGGTGATGCGTGAAGAGGAAAGTGTAATTAAAATTATTTTTTGTGGGTAGGGATGTAGCTTATCGGGAGAGGTCTTGCCCAGCAGCACACAAGGCCTTGGATTCTCTCACCCCTCCAGGACACTTTGTCTTTTTCTGAAACAAGGTCTTTCTGTTATATAGGCCTGGCTGATCTGCAACATGCTACATAGACCAGGTTGGCTCTAACTCAGAGATCCACCTGCCTCTGCCTCCTAAGAGCTGGGATTAAAGGTGTGGCGCCACCACATCTGGCAGCAAGCCACACCACATCTGGCACCAAGGCCACTTTTAGGTAACTCTAGGGGAGGTGTATAGTAAAGCAATACTCAGAATGTTATAGGGAGACAAGCTGGAGATAAAGTCCATATAGCTGGCCTGGCCTACTGCTTGATTTTTTTTTTTTTAAATGGCTAGAAAGAACTAAAGGAACAATATTTCCTTCAGATAAAGATGTGATAGCTTTATGAGACTCAAATTTCATGAATAAAATTCTACAGTTAAATCCATTTGTTTATATGTTGCTATAGTTGTTCACTGTTAAAATGGGGGAGATAGGGTAGTGTAATAGACTGCAAACCCCACAAATCCAAGAATACTTATTGTTTGGCTAGTTGTAAAAGAATTTAAACTTAAAGAAAATTTTTTACAGAAGTTTTTGTCACTGGCATTTTCTAGTAAATCATCATGTATGCTTTTCACCTGCTAATTTTATAATTCCAGCAATCCAGAAGACTTTGGTAGGTAGACTGCAGTCTGTATTGGGAACTTCTATTCTTACATTTTCTGAGATATCACCCCAGCAGGTCCCCATAGGTGCCTGTCATACAAAAATTATTAAATTATTATTTTATAATATAAGAACGAAACATCATTCAAAATTAAATATCATCAGTAATGGAATATTCAAATAAAATGTCATTTTAATTCATTCATATTTTCTTGAAGTACAGTTTCTACTCCTTGATAAAAAGAATTGTATATGGAGACATCCAGAGTCAGGATCAGATTCAAGACAGAAGACAGAATGTGCATCCATCAGATCCACGTTGACTTTGAAATTCAAGACCAAACATGACATTTAAGTAATTTTTATTCTAAAACCTGAATGATAAACATGGCCTACATCCTATATCAAGATGACTTGAGGAAATTCGGTGTTTTTAATGTGTAACCCTTAACTTTTAAAGATCTTGCCCAAGAGTAGGAAAAAAAATTTCCAATTAAAAGGTTTCAACATGATCCACAGAAATAAAACAGGTATTTCAAATATAAGCTAAATCCACAGAATGTAAATACAGTCTATTAAGACGGACAGGAAAAAGCACTGGGAAAGTCATTAAAAGGGGGAGCTGAAGAGATTTAGGAAATGAGGCCTGCAATAAATTGTTAAATAACTTATTTCAAATTTTCTCATGCAACAATTACTATGAAAACAAAACTTCCAATGTTAGAGCTGCTGATCACTGGCATCCATACTACTGATTAAGATGGCAACTGAGAAAACTACCTGAAAGTATAACAATCACATTCCCCAAAAGGTAATGTTCTCATTTCTATGACTCCCTAAACTGCAAGGCAATATACAATTACTTGGACTTTATGCAATAGTAAATTAAATCAAGTACATGAATTTATAATTATTAGTGCTAGTAATTCTAGTCTCTGTGGCCCTGGATAATCAGGTTTCCATGAAATGTAGAACACTGGACATAAATAAAAGGATAAGGTGAGGGTCTAGAAGGCCTGGTAATGTGAATAAATCAGGTGAAAACAAAACAGCTTCAAAATTAAAAGATAAGCAAGCATAGAATGAACTAGCAAGTATGGACATTGGGAAAATGTATTCCATGGAAGGAGTGCCCCTTTATAGTTTGATATAACCCAGAACAGAGTCAGTCTGAAGTAGTATTTCACTCCTGCCCTCTAAACAGTTTATAGAAACACAACATCAAATAATGGCGAGCTAAGATCGAGAAACCAAAGACAGAATCAATTAATGGCTAACTCTTTGGGTAGCAGCAACAAATAGACCTTATTAACTTAGAGACACACCCAATCTCAATTATTTGTGATTATGGGGAAGGAACACATATATATCTTCCCAAGAGGGAAGGGGAAAAACAAAACTACCTCCTCCCGTTTTGACACAGGGTTTTGCTACGTAGTTCAGGCTGGCCTGGAATTTGCCATGTATACCACACTGGCCTCAAATTTGCAATGATCCTGCCGCAGTACCCCTCCCTCCCAAGTGCTAGGGTTATAGGTGTGTGTGCCACCATGCCTGGTTTTCCTTTGTAAACAGGAAGATTGGACCCTTCAGGTTCTGCTACCTCCCCTACATCATTCAAGACTGTAGGGCCATCCCTATTGCCAGCAGATATAATCAGAAAAGGAGAGGCCAGAAGGAAGACAAGTAACACAAACTAAGCTAACATAAATTAATACAAAGACCATATATTATTCATTTCTTGTAAAGCTTAGCATCAGAGAAGATAGGTGCAGGTAAATGCATGCATAAAGCTGCATTAAACCCAAGTAGGGTAGCTACTCTTTGTTTGACTGCCAAATCTGTGAATTCAGTTTTTATTGAGAAGAGCCATGGATATATACTGACAAGCTATATACAAGGTTAGGTGGGCACATGCTAAATGAAATTTGCATACAGGACTCCTTTCTGAGCTAGACTTGACAAACTATTTGCTGGTCTTTTTTTTTTTTTAAGTTTCAGTATTATCTTTGGAGAAAATACTTTTTAGTGCCATTTATTAAAGAAAAGGAGTGTCAATATTTACTCAAACAAACAAACAAAAAAGGTAATGCTCACTTGAGTGGGAGATCTTTGGTTTGATGCCTATAGTCTGGATTGGTATAGGAGAAAGTAGCAGAAAGTGACATTTGTTCTTGCCTGTAAGGTTGTGGTTCTGCTAGGCCCTCTTAAACCAATCCATATGGTTCACTCTATGAAAAAAAATGAAGGAATAAACATCAACAAGATAGAGCACTACAGTTCTAACAGAGTATGTGCTCAATGTGTTGAAATGATAGTGATTTCATAGATATATCTGCCCTTTTTAAAAAAATGAATATCGTTTTAAGTGTGGAAGACGGAATGACCCAGGGCTTGACAGCCATCTTCATCCAAGTCATCTGTCTTCTCTTGCTGGCAGGAGGGATACCTTTGAAGTCTGGATTGGTATAGCATGAACTAGCAGAACCATCATTTACAGGTAACAACAAATTTACCTTCCAGACTCAGGATGCGAGGTCTACCTCAGGCTCCTCCCAAACAAGGAAGATCTGCTCCACCACTTCCTGCTCCAGGGCCACTCGTGAGAGCTATCTGGGAGCGACTCTCCTTCCCTGCAAAGTAAGCTGTCATCAGGTCCTGTAGAGATGGCCAAATCCAAATGCTGAGGGGGTCCCCAACACAAATGTATTATAACCTTCACCTACCTATCTGAAAGAAAATAACCTGGCAGGAAGTCTTACATCCTTCACTCTCAGAACATTCCCAGATAGTTCAATAGCCCAGATGCCTGGTATTCATACGCTAAGAGGGCACACATGATGCACACAGAAATAAAGATCTCCTTCTACAGCACTGCTAACCTCAAACTTTGGATAACCACAACCAACTTTTAAAGAGTGTAAAGGGGCAGAGGTGAGACCTGAAGTTGCAGGTAGGAAACCAAGAAAGAATTTATCACCATGATAAAGCAAAATCCACCATTACTATACCTCAGAACACGACTGCTAAAGTGTTCCTATTAGAGAAAGATGAAATAATATTTTGTCAAAAAAGACAAGGGAAGAAGCCAGGCACAGTGCTGCATGTCTGTAATCGCAGCACTTGGGAGGCTGAGGCAGGAACTGAAAGCTAGCTTGGGATACACAGCAAGGACCTATATCTCAATTTCTGCCTTGACCCAACAAAACACAAAACAAAACAAAAAAAACCTTCCAACCTATTCTCTCCAGAAAGTGTACTCACCTTTCGATCTGATACCAGAATCTATTAGGGAGTGGGGTGGGGGTGATGATAGCATAGAGATGGGGAGAGCAAGGAAAATACAAAAGAAAAATGGAATGTTTGAGAGCACTTGAGAAAAATGCTACAGATGTGTTAAAAAAAGTAAAAGTCACTAATTTGAAGGCTTTTTTGGGAGGGAGGTTAGACAAGGCCTTACTCTGTAGCCCAGGCTGTCCTAGAACGCACAATGTAGACCAAACTAGCCTCATACACGCTGTGATCCTCCTGCCTCAGCTTCCCAAAGGAAGCCTTCTATGTAAATACAGGTATGCAGCTACTTGATGACAGGTAAAATATGCAAAACATACTTTGATCATTAGAAGATACCAAAAGAAAAACAAAATCCACTCTGGGAGAGAGTCCGAAGTTAAGACATTCATTTAGATTTAGGTTTCCTTTTAAATTAGGTTTTCCTGAAATACCTATTGCAGGTGGGTTTCATAATGGGGGCTCGCTCCCTGCCTTTGTAGAGAGAATGCATTGCGTATTAGTGTTAGGGTGGGTGGAGGAACAAGTATAAGAAACCAACTCAAGTTTTCCTTTCTTAAAGATTTATTTTATGCATAGAACACTCTATCTGCATATATGCCTTTATGCCAGAAAAGGTCATCAGATCTCACTATAGGTGGTTGTGAACCACTATATGATTGCTGGATATTTAACTCAAGATCTCCGCAAGAGCAGCCAGTGCTCTTAACCATAGAGGCATCTCTAGTCCCAAGTTTTTTTTACGTTAGAAATAAATTTTTTAATCTAAGATGACACATGGAGGTTCTATCTTTAACTATAAAGGAGATGAGTTATAGTATCCATTTTGCAGAGTCCTCTTTCTGTAGGTCGAGGACAGCGGGGAAACACCCTAAAAGGTAATTTTAATAACATTCCTAATAAACATATAACTGAGAAATCATATCATGAATTTTACTAAAAAGCCAAACTATTGTTATAGCTCATATACAAAAAAGAGGGCTTCTCTTTTTCTTTTTCTAAAGTTTTATTTTCTGTGCATTGGTGTTTTGTCTGCATTCATGTCTGTGTGAGGATGTTGGATCTCTTGGATCTGTAGTTGTAGATCATGTGAACTGCAATGTTGGTGTTGGGAATTGAACTTTGGTCCTCTGGAAGAGCAGACAGTGCTCTTTTTTTTTTTTGGTTTTTCGAGACAGGGTTTCTCTGTGGCTTTGGAGACTGTCCTGGAATTAGCTCTGTAGACCAGGCTGGTCTCGAACTCACAGAGATCCACCTGCCTCTGCCTCCCGAGTGCTGGGATTAAAGGCGTGCGCCACCATAGCCCGGCTACAGACAGTGCTCTTAACAGTGGAGTCATCTCTCCATTAAACCAAAGTAAATATGTATGATACGTGCTACAAATGAATAAAAACTTATTTCTTCAGAAAAGCTGCACTTAGGTCAGGGATAAAAACAACAGAAAGACTGTATATGTGACAGATACCGGTGTATTCACGGAGGCAGAAAGAAAACGTCAAACTCAGCTTTAAAGTCATAGTATGTAAGTTAAGTGTTGCAGATCGTGTCTCTAATCCCAACATGTCTCTAATTTCCTGAGGCAGGAGAACTGCCATGATTTCCAGAGTAGTCTTGTCTATGGAGATCCTGCTTTGAAAACCAACCAATCAACAAATCATCTCACCACCTCCTACCATAAAAACCAGTACTGTCCTCCCAATCCCAAGTCACAGTATAGCTACACATGATGGCACACCGTTATAATCCCCTTTAGGAGTCCGAGGCAGGAAGACTGAGTTCCAAGCCAGCCTGGGCTACATAGTAAGAGACCCTATTTCAATTCTGTCAACTCCTCCCACCTCCTCAGATAAGTATCTGTGAATTTGATAAACCTATATAGTATATATAAGCGGTATTTGGTAACATGATTAGTATTTTTTTGTTTGTTTTTGCCTTTTGTGGATACTACTAGCGAAGAACTAAGAAAGGGCTGGAGAAATGGCTCGGTGCATTCTGCTTTTGTAGGATTTAGTTTGTTTTTTGACACCCCTATTCAGTGTTTCACACCCACTTGTAATTCCTGCTTCAAGTGCCCTGACATCTTTGGCTTCTATGGGCACCTGTACTTACGTGTGCATATCCACATACAGACATATACAAAATAACAAAAGTAATCTGAAAAAGAACTAAAAACTTCAAATTCTGAAAAATAAAAGTTTAAAATTATAACCCAATTTCTCAAAAATGTAGTAAAGCTTTAGGCTGAGCTAAAGGATTCTGAAGAAGCTGCCAGCTTTGTGACTACACATTAAAGAACACGTTTCTTGAGGTTTCTGTCAGAGTCTTACACTGTAGCCAGGTGGGTCTGGAACACACACTGCTCTTGCCTCAGCTTCCTGACTCCTGGTCTAACAAGTGTGCATTACTGTATATGGTTAATTTAGGATTAAGTAAAAATTTTATTAGTCAATTCAGTGATAGTCAAGGAAAGGTAGACAATGGTTGGAGACCAATTTGCTCTGCCAAACCAATCAGTATAGTTTCTTGCTGTGGATTGAACCAGACTTTATTAGGTAAAAAATAATATGGAAAAGGACAAAAGGAACTCAATTTTCACTGTAGACTTATCTTTCTTTTTGGTATTAATGAGGTCTCATCAAATTGCCCAGGCTGGCCTTAAACTTGTGGTCCTTTTGTAGCTGAGATTACAGGGCTACAGCACTAGGGTTGGTTCCAAAGAGTTTTTGCTTGTTAGTTTATTTATTAGACAAAGTCATACTAATGTCACCTAGTTGGCCTGGTACTGAGTATACATCTTAGGCTGGCTGCAGACACAATGGCCACCTACTTGGCTTATTCTTCTGAGTGCTGGGTTACAGGTATATACCATCAATGTTTGACTCTAAGATACTTAAGATACCTTTAATTTTCCTAAATTTTATTTTTATTTTAAATTATGTTTATGTATATGTGTCTGCGGCTTTGTGTGTATGTCTATGTAAGTGTTCATGGAGGTCATAGGCATCATATCTCTGTGGAGTTGGATTTATAGGGAGTTCTGAACCACTCAACATGGGTGCTGGGAACAGAACTTTATTCTGTATGCAGTGTATGAGCTTAACTGCTGAGCCATTTCTCTAGTATTACAACGTATGTTACGGAACTTCATTTCCAGAAATTATACAGTTTCACACTTGAAAATGTATGACTGTTTTAAGTGCTGAGAATAGTGTATTTGGACCTTTACTTGAGAAAAAGATGGATAAACTGGAGAATCCAGGCAGTCAGAATTCTGACATCATACTCATAACAACTGTTTCAACCCAAACAGCTTTGCTTCTGCATCATATACTACAGATGAGTGTTTGTAAATTAGGTTTGAAAAAGAACCTCTACCAGCAAGAAGGCTCTTATTTGATACCCAAGTGGGCAAGAGGACAGACGTGGGTCTCTAAGAAGAAAATCCTGTCAGAGAACGCATTAAGTCTTAGAGGTATGATGTTATGAGATAGGGTCTTCTGCTCCCAGTAATTCCTGGTAAAAGACTTCCCACAGTCCAAACCAGTAACTTCTCTTAGAGACAAGAAAGAAAATGATCTCCAGGGAAAGACTGGAGAGCCATCTCTGAAGAAAATAAAGGTTAGCATGAGTTCTACCTCTTAAATCAAATGGCTTCAACTGAAAATGTTGACTGAAGCAGCAGAACAAATTCACTGTGCTAAGGCAAAGCTTTTCCTCTCTGATAAGGAGGAGGCAGTAAAGAAAGGTGAGTGGAACAGGAATGATGGGTTTCACATAACCGACAGATGCTTCATTCTGAGTGAGAAAGGGAAGGTGTCACATTACATTAATAAGTTAGCTGCTCCATCTATGCAATAGAATATCCTTTACTGCTAGTCTTGAACTCACTATGTAGCTGAGGCTAGCCTTAAACTCTTGGATCCTCCTGCTTCCACCTCCCAAGTGCTGAGATTATAGGTATATGCTACCATACCCAGAACCTGACTGAATTTAAATTATAAAATAAATATTTTCATTATTAAAAAAAGCAAACTATTACAAGTCTAAAGATCCTTTATTACTATCTCCAACCTGAATCAAGTAGTTTCCTTGACATAACCACAACACTCAGTTTAGTATTTATATTTCCAGTCCTTTCTGGAATTGTACTTATTTCCAAGGTAGAATTAGCTGCTCTACGACCATTTCAATCCTAAAAATAGCAAAGCTGTACACAAAATCAACCAACGTAATTATTTAAGAGATGTACTCGAATTTTAGTCAGTATAATTGTTCAAAGATACGGACAGGAAGTTAAATACACTTTCAAGACCTTGAAATGCTATTTTTTTTTTTTTTTGATTTTTTGAGACAGGGTTTCTCTGTAGCTTTTTGTTCCTGTCCTGGAACTAGCTTTTGTAGACCAGGCTGGCCTCGAACTCACAGAGATCTGCCTGTCTCTGCCTCCCGAGTGCTGGGATTAAAGGTGTGCGCCACCACCACCCGGCTCTTGAAATGCTATTTTTAAAATATTCTGGCTGCTTATATAAAAATGTTTGACCTAGTTTATGACATAAAACATTAAAAAGACGATCTGGAGAAAGATGAAAGCCATTTAAAAGAGACAACAGACAAATGTGCCAGGAATCTGGGATGAAGACTTACTATGGAATTCTGAGCATCTCAGCACCACAGAGCAACACTATGAAGTTTGTGCTTCATGCTCTGCAGGGCTAAGCATAGGACCTTTAGTGTGTGGCTGGGTAGGTGTACTACGAGTGAGTGACACCTAAGTTCTGGAGTTCTCTTTCTAGCTGTTATACACAATGCAACCATATACATTACACAGTTGTTCCCTAGTATGTATTACCAACAGTACAGCATAAATCACCCATTTGACTCTCAGATAAGCACCTAAAGGTTGCATTTTAGTTTTCTAAGCATGTCACAGACAAAGGGCTTAACATTTGCACACTAAAGGAAGAAAACCAACAAATTAATGCATCGGGCTTTAATATACATTTATACTAGTAAAGTAATTAGTATGCTTCTGATAAAGATCTTTCACTTACAGGATGAGTGAGAACTCCTTTGGATTTCATGTTAAGAAAGTATGTACAGTTTGTTCATAAGCTATTATTTAATAAAGCCCTTAGCAAAAAGTGTGAACAAAACTGCATTAATTTCTAACTTTTCTGCTTATGTATGCACAGAAGTAGACAGTTGTTGAATATAAATTAATCATATCAGGTTAAGAAATATTAGGTCAAATTACCAAAGATAAATCAAACCAAAACAACACAACAGCTGACACACTGGTTTTACATCAAATGCTCTGAAAACGACATCTTTCAAACTGTTTTTAATGACACAGATTACTTCCTCCAGCTCATAAGAAAACATTCCCGCTGCTTCTTTGTGTGTGCTTTTACATTTGGAGGCAAAAACAGCTCTTAGAAATGACCTGTTCAAATCACAAAGTTCTTGGGATGTGTTAGGCTGAGCCACACGACATTGCTAGCAGCCAACCAGTTCTGTTACAGAACTCCTCCCATATAGTTCATGTTTTATATGGTTTAACATGGAAACTGGATGAGACAGTAAACTGTTTTTAAAATTTTTTCCCCTGTTTTTTCAAGACAGGGGATTTCTGCAGTTTTGAAGCCTGTCCTGGAACTAGCTCTTGTAGACCAGGCTGGCCTCAAACTCACAGATAATCTAACTGCCCCTGCCTCCCTGCCTCCCAAGTGCTGGGATTAAAGGTAAGTGCCACCACCGCCCGGCTGAGATAGTAATTTTTGTTGTTGAAAATCATTCATAATGCAACTAAAAATCCTTTTTTTCAAATTTTATGATAGGTATTTTGCCTGCATGTATATCAGAAACCCTGTAACTAGAGTTACAGACAAGTGTGACCTATCATTGGGGTGCTGGGAATTGAACTTGGGTCCGCTGGAAGGGAAACAAGTGCTCTTAACTACTGAGCCATCTCACCAGCTTGCAACTAAAACTCTTTTATTAATGTTGAAGGCAAAACACAGGATCTTGAATGTTTGAGGCAATCACCTTGTCACTGAGCTACAATACTTAAGAAGCCCTCAATAAGAGCTCTTTTGTTGGGCTAACATTACTTGTAAAACACAAGAAATTACTCTTAGCTATTAAGAATAATAAAAGACTTTTTTTTTAATGGTATAAACAAAAAGTTTCTAAGGATAAGATGATGAGCTGTTATTGTATCTTCAGATTTAAAGATCATACATTTTATGGTAAGGGAGAAATTCCATACTCACATGCTTAAAACAAGCAACTGGAGCTGCTATGAAGCTATTGCTGTTGATGTAGTTACCCCAGCTGAAGCCTTCCACGGAGACTGCTGAAATAAAGTAAACTTAGATGTAACTAACTCTCCAACATTTTATTTCCAAAACAATTTTTCTTATTTCTAGACTTATACATGCTGAGCCACATCTTGCTAGCCTGAAAGTTATTATTGTTATTTTATTTTTTTCTTTTCAAGACAGGGTTTTTCTGTGTAGGTCTGGCTGTCCTGGAACTCACTCTGTAGTCCAGGCTGGCCTCAAACTCACAGAGATCCACCAGTCTTTGCCTCCTGAGTGCTGGGATTAAAGGTATGGGCCACCAGTTGGGCTGTGGTGGCGTACACCTTTAATTCCAGCACCTGAGAGTCTCAGGAGTCAGAGGCAGGTGGCTCTCTGAGTTTGAGGACAGTTTGGTCTACAGAGTGAGTTTCAGGCTAGTCAAGGCTATACAGAGAAACCCTGTCTAAGAACCCCCCCCCCAAAAAAAAGCCTACAACCACACAAAAAACCAAACCCAAACAAACAAACAAACAAACAACAACAACAAAACTCCCACCAAATAAAAAACTAAACTAAAACCAAAATCTCCAGAAGAAAGTTTTCGGGGAAATGTGATGACACAAACCTGTACTTAAAGCACTTGGGAGATGATGGCAGGGACCAGAGTTAATTAGTCCTATAGAATAAGACCCTCTTTTCAAACCCACTCATCAAAGCTTTTGTTTTCACATAATGATTAAAGAACTTGACTAAACAATATGGACTTTTACTGGTTAAGCCCCCTTTCTAACTACTTATTAACAAAAGTATATTAGATTTCAGAGTTTCATGGATTTTCAGCATGGACTTTATTGATACTTAAACAGCACATATTTCAAAACATTTTGGATTTCAGATTTTCTCTTTTGGTAGTGCTAGGAACTGAATGAGAGGGCCTTATGTACTGGGTGAGTACTCTACCAGTAAACAAATGCCTTCCTCAGATCATATTTTGTATTTCTAATTAGAGATGTCCCACTTTTATTTACAAGCACATTACTACCACCACTAGAACATCTTTGTGTGTCAATTAGTCCCTTCTACAACAGTTACCAACGAACCACCTGACACCAGGAAGCACATAGTGCAATCAGAAAAAACATAGTTTAAACACAACCCAAGGTCAGATGAGTAATATTTCTCTTTTATCACATTCACGAGAATTACCTGCTTTTGTCTTTGCTTGATTTTGCAAGGTAGCTTGATACTGAGCATAGGCAGCTAATTTAGCAACTAAAGGTTGTTTCTGAAGGACTTTTGCTTTCTTTGTTGGAGGCTTACCCTAAAACAAGAAAAGTTAAGTAAATAGAAATCTTCACCCCCTCCACAACTGAAATTTAACATGACTGTATACTACTCATTCTGCTTAAATATTGAGGGTTTAGATAATTATTAAAGCAGAGGAAACATCCAAGGAATTTTAACATGAGAGTTTTTTTCTTTTTGTTCTGCTACAATGTAGTTATCTAATACGGGCTGCAGAGCTGGCGCAGACTAAAACAGCAATATGCGAATTAATATGTTAATAAAAATTATATCCCATAAGATGTTAAAATATAGGTTGTGGTGGATACTTGACCTCTTCTTAGAGTGGAAAGAATCAGTGTTATTCACTCATGCAGCTGCAAAGCATTGCTACTGATATGGTAAGAGAAGACAACTCAATGTTCAAAGAACAAGTGACTGAGGTTTATACCTTTAGTGCTAATGCAAAAGGTCAATGACATAATGATCATGGCCAAATTCAGTGTGACAGACTGCCATCCATTTGGGTACAGACCACTGCTCAGGATCTTTGGGAACTGTCTATCTGAAATATAGAAATACATCTAAGTGATGTATTTCCCTCATCTGGGGCTTTAGATAACCTTTTCAGTGCTATGTAATGATCACCATCAGTTAAATAAGAAAGGCAAACTTGTGACCATACAGAAGATAATCACGAAAATCAGTACTCTAATGCCTTAAGAAATTTTAAGTTGGTTTGGTAACAACTTAGTCAAGTAGTCAATACTCCAGGATTCTATAAGCATTTATATACACTTAAAAAAGATAATTTTTCTTTTCATTTCATGGACGTTTTAAAAAAAGGTGAATTATTTTGTTTTCACAGAGAAACCCTGTCTCGAAAAACCAAAAAAAAAAAAAAAAAAAAAAAAACCAAAAAAAGGTGAATTATATTAGCAAACATATTTGGCTAAGGTATCAAATTGGTTGTACTCAAAAGTACAAAGTTGAATTTGGCTATCATGCACAAGGCTGGGGTTCACCACCAGCAACAAAAATTCCATGAACAAAAACCAAAGTACAGAGCACGATGGGGGGGGAGAAAGAGCGGAGAAGAAAAAAAAAAAAAAACAGAAAACCTCAAAGAATAAATCATTTTCACCAAAATGGCAATTCTACCTTGATATTTACTCAAGAAAACATTGGGGAGGAAGCAGAGGAGAAAATGGCTATATTTTCTATACATAACAAGGTGTTTAATTGCACTTATATGGGCAAAGGTCTTTTTATTTCACTTATAAAGATAATTTACAGCTTATTTTGGATAGCCTGTCTTCACCATGTAAGATAATCCAGTTTATATTACTTGTGGCTTATACATTTCCTAAAAGTGCAGTCTGACATTTCCTAAAAGTGCAGGCTGTAAATCACTGGCCAGTTGGGGAGAGGTGGAGTGTTGTGAACCACAGTCAGATGACAAGTAAAAACAATGGGAAACAGGAACAATAAGAAGGTTTCTGTACCGTTACCTGAAGTCTGGCCAAAATGCTTGCCTTCTTAGAGTTCGACGAGTAACTTCTTGAACAAGAAACACTGCAGAAACGTTTTGTTTTAGAGTAAAAAGCGTCTCGTACACCGACCATCCCACACATCTCACAGGTAGCTAATTAATAAAATAAAAACATTAATATGAAAGAGCATATAATAAATTCCAATCTCTCCACCTGTCTAGATGTATTTATCTAAAAATCTGCAAAGAACCCTTTCCCTCTTTCTTACAAATGATAGAGAAAAGTTAGACAGGACCTGTATGATGCTGTGGTGGTGGCGGTGTATAAAATCTGAAAATCTCCTAAAAGCCTTAAAAAGGTCAAGAGGTATGGAGACATATGTCACTGTGCGTTTGTGTGTGTGTGTGGGAGGAGACAGAAACCTTATTTTCAACTATCATTTTCCTAATGCGTATTATGTTGTAGGCATTTTCATATATAATGACACATATATAATATATATTATGATGTAATATATATTATGAATTTCAGCTTTTAAAAGGATTATGTGCAGAAGATTAAAAGGAGAAAAAAGATTAAAAGGAATGCAAAAGCCTTTAAAATATTGCAAAGGTTGAAACCAAAAAAGAGCAAGCATTTAGAAAAATGGAGAGTATTCTTTCAATTATATCCAGGGACACAGAAGTATCGAGCAGGTGCTATGCATGAGGTCAGGGCAAGAGACAACTCGGCCTCTGATGGGTATTACATAATGGCCATAACTGGGATTGGCTATGCAATCAGGCTGAGGCAGAAGGGTTAAGAGTTCAAGGTCTGAAAAAAAAAAAAAAGAGTTCAAGGTCTGCCTAGGCTATAGAGAAAATTCAAGGCCAGTGTGGGTAAGTAAAATCCCGTCTCAGCAAAAAGTGAGCTTGGATATAGTTCAGTGGAAGAACACTAGCATGCATGAGGCCCTAGTTTTAGTCCTTAGTACTGCCCAAGAGAGAGAGAAAACAAAACTAAAAACGAGGCCAGCCTGGTCTACAAGAGCTAGTTCCAGGACAGGCTCCAAAGCCACAAAGAAACCCTGTCTCGAAAAACCAAAAAAAAAAAAAAACAAAAAAAAAAAAACCCACAGGTTAATGTTCCACCCAAATGGTTTAAAGTGTAACCAGCACTTATATATCCTCGAGAAATGGAAACAAGACAAAACACTAAAAATACAAGGAACTGGCAATGAATATGGGGTGTCCATAAAAAATGGTTTGTATAAATTATATGTCATTAAAAGATTTGCAATTACCTACATTTAAAAAAAAGTCTGCTGTAGTGGCACACTGTTTTGTTCCTAATACTTAGAAGGCAAAGCAGGCCCTGTCTCCACAGTGAGTTCCAGGCCAGCCTGGTTTACAGTGAGACCCTGTCTCTCAACAAAACCAAACTAGTCAAGTGGATAATGAATCCTTGACAAGAATTATACAACGTCAACAACTACAGTGCTCTTTTGTGGTAAGATTTCCACACTGGTATGATATCACCCATAGCAAGAATATGTAGAAATAGGAATAAAGCTCTTTCCCCCCCCACTTGAGACAGGGTCTCACTATGTAGCCCTGGTTGGGTTGGAATTCACTATGTATTCTAGGCTGGCCTTAAACTCACAGATATCTGCCTGCCTCTGCTTTCCAAGTGCTGAGAGTAAAGGTGTATACCACCATATCAAGTTCAGTATTTCTGACAAAAGTTTTCATATAGCTTTGTCGATCATGACTGAGAAATGTCAGATGGAGTAGAACACACCTAGGAAATCCTTCTTTTCTGGTTTGTGGTGCTAGATTTAACATAGCATTTTTCCATGCAAAGAAAGAACTTTACTGCTGAGCCACACATCTATTTTTACCTAGGTACATTTTTTTCCCCCTTTTTGGTTTTTGAGACAGGATCAAGTCTTGACTGTCATGGGACTTGTTATGTAGGCCAGGTTGGTCTAGATAGACCTCACAGAGATCCTCCTGCCTATCTCCAGAGTGCTGGGATTAAAGGAGTGCACCATCATCCCTGGTTCTAGGCACATCACATTTTAATTGACTGGCCAATCCTTTTGTTTTGTTTTGTTCCCTAGACAAAGTCTCATTATGTAGACCAGGCTGGCCTCAACCTCTCAATCTGCCTGCTGCAGCCTATCAAGAGCTGGGATTATTGAATAAATTACCACAGATGATCCTAATGGGTGTTGATAAATAAAATTTTGTGCTAGTGTAAGAATTATGCATACGTGTATGTGTATATGTGTGCACACGCACGTGCATGCCTATGGCCTGTGTATGTGTGTGTGTGTAAGCCAGGGGTCAATTTCAGCTGTTGTTCCTTAGATGCCATCTACTTTGTTTCTTTGAGACAGTCTGGCTCAAAGATGAACACGATGAGATTTGCGTTTTTTTTTTTTTTTTTTTGGTTTTTCGAGACAGGGTTTCTCTGTGGTTTTGGAGCCTGTTCTGGAACTAGCTCTTGTAGACCAGGCTGGTCTCGAACTTACAGAGATCTGCCTGCCTCTACCTCCCAAGTGCTGGGATTAAAGGCGTGTGCCACCACTGCCCGCTTTTTTACAGTCATCTAGAGATCAAACAAGGTCCTCATGGATACATAGCATGCACTTTACTGACTGAGCTATTGCCTTAAACAGTGAAGCTGATTTTTATAAAAAATTTGTTTCTGGGATAGCCTCCCTGTGTAGTCCACGTCGATCTTTCTGCCTTTGTCTGTTCAAGTATTACCACTGCAGCCACTTTTAGCTAAGTACATTTTTTTTATATGGTTTGTAGAACTCTGTACCAGGCTCTACCATTCATTTTCGGCTTCTTAGCTGAAAGACTATAGGATGTATAAAATAGGATTATCACATCTGTAAATGATACACAGCTGAAAAATTGACATAGCATCCAACATTAGATGACAGAATTAAAAATTTCTACAATCAAAAGTTAGTAAGAAAGAGGCTTCCAAGGGAGATTCAAAGACCCAAGATTGGTTTAGGTTGGTTTACATATGCCATAAAACAACAAACAGCCAGGCAGTGGTGTTGCTGTGCCTATAATCCTAGCACTTGACAGGCAGAGGCAGGTGGATCTCTGAGTTCAAGGCCAGCCTGGTCTATGCAGAGTGAGTTCCAGGATTACATAGTGAAACCCTGTATCGAAAAACAAAAATAAAACCCAAACAAACAAAGGCAACAGCAACCAGTGAGCTGGCTACGTCGATAAAGGCACTAGTCAAGCAAGTGCGGCAACCTGAAGGGTGGAAGAGAACCAACTACACAAAGTTGTCTTTCTGACCTCTCCTAGTGCACTATGGCATGTGCACCTCTACCTTTCTATCTCCACCTCTCAATTTAAAAGAAAAAATGCTAAGTATCTATGAACTGAAATTCAGTATTATTTCAGAAAAAACCAGTGACTTAGCCACAGTGCCCTGAAGAAGACAGCAAGGCTGAACTATCTTTTGATCCCATCACAGCCATTTGTTGGAGGTGATTTTTTTTTCTTTTTGTTTTGAGACAGGGTTGTCTTAGAACTCTCTCTGTTGATCAGGCTATACCTTATTACTGGAGGTGGTAACTTATGAACTGGGCATGGTGAGGCAAGTGAGGCAAGTGTAGGCCAGCCTGTGACTCACAGTGCAACCTGTTCTGAAACCCTCAACTGCCCCGCTGCTCCCCCCAATCTTGATGAACCATCGCAGAGAAGCCCTATCCTATCTCAGTGTTTCTAAAAACACTATGATCCTTCTCACTTTCAGCTCTATAGGGACAGTCATTAACAGAATTTATATCTTATAATAGACTGATTTTGATTTTTTTCTATTTGCTTCCCACTAGAATGGAGGATGGCAGAGATAAACTCAGTGATCTTATCTGGAATTCATATCTTCAAATAATCCTAAAGGAGAGGCCAGGTATGGTGCCACTGTTTATAATCCCACCAGTCTGCCTTACATAGCAAGACACTATCTAAAAATAAAATAACTAAACCAACCTAAAACAAACAAACAAAAAAACCAAATATGAAATGAAAACACCCTCAAATAGAAAGTCATGTAGCAGGTAGATGTGTAGACACTCACCCATGCCAGATTTACCATCTGGGTATGTGTAGACTTGTCCATTGTTTTTGATAATTGGGAGATTGGAAGGTAAAGGAGCAACTTCTTCTTCACTCTCTTCGGAGCTGGAGCTGCTACTTGTGTCCTCACTGCAGCTATCATAGCCGTCAAACATCCCGAACGAATCTTCTTTTTCTTTTGGATTGTGAAGAATGTTCTGTCTTTGTAAAGAAATCAGTGACATATGACAAAGTGCTCACATATAGCTCTTTACAAGCCTTTAATACAAGTTAAGTGAGACTTGACAAATGAAATCTAGAACTGAGAACAGAAATTTTTGTTTGCTCATTGGGATAGGGTCTTTGTAACAGCTCGGGTTGGCCTCAAACTCAGGTGATTCTCCAACTTCAGTCTCTCCAGCTGCTGGGATTATAAGTGCAGGCCTAGCAGACAACATTATCTTTTAATGAAATATGAAATACTGTGGCAAAATGAACTTCTCTACTATGAGACACAAACTAGTTTGCAAATTTAATAATAAGAGAACTGAGATTGATGTAATGAGTTGTGTATTTAACGAGGCATGTCCCGCTTCCCCTCAAAAAAAAAAAAAAAATCACACCAGATCCAGTCTTTTAAAAAAAACGAGATATAGTTGGGTGGTTGTGGAGCAGGGACGCAGAGGCAGGTGAATCTCTGAGTTCCAGGACAGTTATGGCTGTTACACAGAGAAATTCTGTCTTGAAAAACAAAACAAGAAAGAAATGCAAACAGTATTTCTTAATTTGCCTTTTTAATCTAAATTCTAAATTTCTTAAAAAAATAAATGTGTGTTTATGTTTTTGTCTGCATGTATGTCTGTGTACCAATTGTGTGCCTGGTTGTTAGATCCCCTGGAACTGAGTTATATGGACACTTAAGAGCTGCCATGTGGGTGATGGGACCTGAACCCGTGTCCTCTGGAAGAGTGTCAACCACTGAGTCATCTTTCCAGCCCTGTTTCTTATTTTGATGTAGGAGGATCTTCTTTTTTGTGTTGATTTCATTGGTTAAATAAAGAAACTGCCTTGGCTTTTTGATAGGGCAGAAAATTAGGTAGGCGGAGTAGACAGAACAGGATGCTGGGTAGAAGGCAGTGTGGCAGACACCACGGCTCTCTGACTCGAGATGGATGTAGGTTAGAATCTTCCCAGTAAGCCACGACATCGTGGTAATCACAGATTAATAGAAATGGGTTAATCAAGATGTGAGTTAGCCAGTAAGAGGATAGAGATAATGGGCCAGGCAGTGTTTAAATGAATACAGTTTCTGTGTTATTATTTCCGGGGCTAAGCAGGCCTGTTAGCCTCATCACTACCTTATTTTTTTTTTCATGATAAACTTAGTTTATTCTTGGTATACAAAGGAGTTCAACATATATAAATCAATAATTACAATATATCTCATAAATGGATTCACTGGTAGAAATCAGATGGTCATCTTAAGATATGCAACGAATTAAGACTCTTGTTTTACTCCACAAAAATCCCAAGATTTATTCATGGTATAAATCCTAAAAATCTAGGAATTGAGGGAATACATAAAAATACAATAAATGTTATACATGACAAATATATCAAGGGAGGAAATACTCAAATGTTTTTACTAAAATTACAAGAAAAGGTATCTACTCTTCACATTTTTATCAAATATAGTGCTGCTCTCTATGACGCCTTCATGCCTTCAAAACTAACACCATGTGGGAATCTCTCATACATTATGAACTTTAGATACCAGTTTGTGATGCAGCCTTGACTGCCTATGGGCACTAAAGAATCACTACATTATTTTGAGACAAAGTTTGCTTGTAAAGCTGGCCTCAATCCTCCCGACAGCCCGAGTGGCTGAGATTACACAGGTGTGTCTTTGGTACCCAACTTGGTTTCTCAGATCACCTCATGTAACCTCAAAAATACTGACTTAGGAGCATCCCTTGGAAAATTTTGCATGCATCAATAAAAGTAACTCCCAGCTCCTTTATAGCACTCGTCTGTTGTTCTGAGCAACTTTTGGATAGTTTTATAAATCAAATCTATCTTCAAAGAATCAAACTTTGATACTATTGGAATATTTAAAGGAGAAATCAGACTGGTAGGGAATAGGCTAATCTTTATTTGATAGTGTGGTACTATGAACACAGAATTCTGACCAACCTGCCAATATTACTTGAGAACTCAAATTTTTTCTTAGTTACCAGCAACTACTTATCAAACACACGTGTACCTCACTGTAACTGTGTACAGCAGACACGGTTCTCATAAATGGTGTCATAGACTGAGAAATGGAGCAGTTATGGGCAACAGAGTAACTAAGATGGAGCTGATAGCATATTCAATGGTGATACCATCCTCAGTGAAGTGCTGCATAGTACGTTCATCTGGAGATAAGGTCTTTCTTTAGGAAGGAAGCCTGTTAAGACACAGGATGTTCTAAATGGGGTAAAATGTCATCTTTCAGGGAAACTCCTTAAGCTCAGGAAGTAAGCAACTCAAGGCTGCAGGAAGTCCCTGAAACTGACCAGATACGCTAGATGCCCCCTCCCTAAGCATATAAGTACTACGAATTGCTGAGAGACACTGTCTGGAAGAGGCAAGAGACCAGCTGGGCTACATGTAGTTTGTGTAGTATTCTCCAGGTTTCCAGTTTTTGTGAGCTGTTACCTATGCTGGGGTAGGCTTTGGTGACGCAGCTGTCATTGAGCCGTTTCTGTTCCTTCTAAGTAATCCCTAACCCCATACCCAAGTAACCCCAATAAAACTAACTGACTCACCAAGTTGGAATTCGGTGGTATCCTTACTTTGATTTGTCACCAGTGCCTATCTGAGGCAAGCAGGCATTTGCTCATGTCTCCCCAGGAATAGTGTCACACAACATGAGGTAAGAAACAAAGGGTGACCCTTGAATATCTTCTGTTGAAACAGGCAGAAGAAGGATCAAGATAAAGGATAATGAGTTGGGCATAGTGGCTCATGCTTTAATTTCAGCATTGGGAATAGGTTGGGGTATAGAGTGGTGTGAGAGTGTGTATATGTGTGTGATTGAAGAGGCAAATGGATCTCTGTGAGTTTGAGGGCATGCAACCACAGAGAAACCCTGTCTCGAAAAACCAAAAAAAGAACCCACCAAGTGGTTCACAGCCATCTGTAACTCCAGCTGTAGGGGATCCAGTGCCGCCTTCTGACCTCCACAGGCACCAAGGATATACATGGTGCATTTATATATGCAGCACACATAAAATGAACAAACTGACTTTAATTCTTGCAGAGGTAGGTGGATCTCTGAGTTTGAGTTGCAGGACAGCTGAGGCTACACAAAGAAACCCTGTCTTGAAAAGACATAAATCAAAAAGCAAGAAAAAAAAATTCTCTCGCTCTCAAAAAAACCAAAAACAAAACAGAAAATGGATAGGAGTTGTAGCCTAGCTGGTAGAGTGCTTGCTTAGGAAGACTGAAACCCTGGGTTTGACTGATCCTTAGCAAAGCATAAACTGGGTTGTGTCACATGTCTGTAATCCCAGCATTTGGGAGGAAAAAATGTTCACTATCATTCTTAAGGATGAATCCTAGACTCTGTCTCTTCAAACACCACTACCACCTTCACTTTTGAGCCCCTTCAGGAATCCAAGTAGGAATCTATACACACATATATATAACACAGAAGTATATACACAAGCACATTTAAGGTAATCATGAATCTATACTTTTACTTCCAATCCTTAATTTACCCCCTAAAGACTTTTCCTTCTCTTGCCAGTCTATATGCATCTTTCTTTCAAAGAGAGAAGGGTGTCCTGAGAGAAAAATCAACTTATTCAAGCCTTTTATTTGGTATGTGTGTGGTATATCCATATGTTTTTGTTTATGTATGTGAACATGCATGAATCACAAGGAAAATTTGTGAGGAGGTGTCCTCCTCAATTCCTCTCCACCCTATTTGTTGACATGCTATCTCTCACTAACTGATTCAGGTAAAGTGGCTGTCCAGAGAGCTCTAGGAATCTGCTGTTCTTTACCTTCCTTAGTGCTGAGATTACACGAGTCTGTGGTGGTATTTTGTTTGTGTTATAACAAATAAAGCTTGCCTGAAAATAAAGAGTGCGGAGTTAGCCACTAGTTAGCCATAGAGGCCAGACAGTGGTGGTGCACACCTTTAATTTTAATACTCCCAAGACAGAGGCAGGGGATATCTGTGAATTCAAGGTCACCCTTGACTACACAAAATTGCATCAGTCTAAAAGAGAAAGAGGCAAGCAGTGGTGGCTCACATTTTAATCCCAGCACTAGGAAGGTAGAGACAGGAAGTGACATGGCTAGGCAGAGAGAAGAATGTAAGGTGGGAAGAGACAGGATCTTGCCTCCTTAGGTCTGAGGTCTCTGTAGAGATAAAAAGTCACCTTTACTTCTCTGATCTTTCAGCATTTACCCTGAGATCTGACTCCAGGTTTTTATTATTAAGACCAATTAGAATTTGCACTACAGGCGTCCATTACCATGCTTGGCTTTTTACACTGAGGTGGGGATCCAAACTCAGGCCTTCTTTTGCAATGCAAGCTCTTTATCAATAGGGGCATCTCTCCAGCCCCTCCTTTCTTTCTTAAATACAAAATTTCATAAATGATAATCTACATAGAATATATATCATTCCTTTCTTTGTAAAAATATCTAGTTTTTAATATTTTGTATGCTCCAATAAACTTATCTATATGTTTTATATTATGGAAAGTAAACAGCTAGTATATAACACAGTTAGTTGCGAAAGACTGAAACATAGTAAAGTCCCTTAAAAAAAAAAAATTGACCAGATCTGTTTTTGTTCCAGCAATATCTAGAATGCTATCCCAGGGAATATATTCTCATTTTTGTTAAACAGATGGATGAAAATGATCTGTCAGTATAGTCCTTTACACTTCTTTGGAAAGAAATGTCATACTTTCAGGAAGACTGAAAGAACTGCACAACAAATGCCTGTGCGCTCAAATTTACTGGTAACATTTTGCCCATTTATTTGTTCTTCTCTCTGAATACATAGTTTAAACCACATATACTACCCCTAAGAATAAAAACATTCTTTCATACCTACACTATGTTTTTCAGCTTAGGAAATTTATTAATAATTTATTAATAATGTTGTACTTTTCTGTCAGGCCCAATCTAGCATTTGGGAAGCTGAAGCAGGAGGAATC